GGCTCGAACTCTCTAGAACATTCATCATACTGCAGTTCTTTGACTTTTTTTCCACTTCACGCCTTTTCATCATCTCCTCTGCAAAAAAGAAAATACATAATAATATAAAAATCAGTAGACAACCTTGAAATTTCAGAAAGTCATACAGTAATAGATAATTTAAAATGGTGACATTCGGACTTTCTTTGTAGACAAAAAGGTTGACATGTCCTCACTCTACAAATGAGAAACAAGCATCCTAATTCAACTAACCTTCATCCTCTTAAATCAAAAGGTGGAAAAATGTAACGATGGCCAGGGATGGTCCAATAACAACAACATCAATACCCCTATTTCCTATATCTTTAAAATGTTTTACCTAGTACAGCACATCTAAAAGAACTAGCCAAGAAAGGGTAAGATACAGAGTAATGGATGAAAGGCCAACAAACAAGGGATGATAGGTTTTGGCAATAGCTTCACCCCTTCCCCAAGCATTGTGAACAGTACAACTCTTTACAAAAAATAAATAAATAAAGTCCAAGAAGCATGGGAAAAAAAATAAATTGTGCATATGAATGATATATACATGCGCGTGTAAGTTTGAGCATGGAGCTTGTGTTACACACAACTGACAATTAATAATCAAGGGGCTACTTTTTTTTTAAGGATAATGATTTTCTTATATATATGTACGTAGTATGTATTGTATAAATAATAGACATTCCAAGACTTCATAGCAAAGCAAAGAAATATTCAACCATTATTTTAGCCCAGAGATATTATGACCCCTCTGCAAAAACAACAAAATAATATATAAAATTGCATCCAAACTATGGCCATACTAATCTCTGTCCTAATCTTTAAAACAAATGGCATAGCCATAATACGCATGAGGCTTCTGGTGGGAGGTCAAATTTACAAAGTTTCACCCATTGCAAATGCATATATAAGTTGCTTTCACGACACCCTTAATTAGATAATCCTAATACTGTTTTTGTCATAATAAGTAAAATTGAAATATGCTAGAACAATACTAGGAAATCTCACTCTTTCACAAAAACAGGTAAGCATGCATGTTCTTAAGGAAATTAATCACAAATGGTCTAATCTACATAGTTAAGAATGAGATTATGTTCCCTTGTCACATACTTAGTAGTACATTCATTAATCATGCATGACAATGGGAGACCATCTAGGAGATTATGAAAGCAAACAAAATATAGAATTTCCAGATATAAAGATAGAATCACATCGACTGGGCTTTGAAGAGCAAAAGGGATGGAGATTAAAATAAAATTAGCAATATAATAAATTCAGTCATTTATTCTTGTTTTCATATAATCAAGAGGAATCAATAGTACACTGCTATATTGTACCACCAATAATGTTAATCACTAATAGAGGAGTGCAATAAAGACAACAAGACATAAAAAACACGATAGTCACAAAATCAACTAATTCTCAATTGTACTCACCTTAATTAATACTAAACTGTGAAGAGCTTAATTAGAATTCAAATCCAAACAGTGTGGTTATCTAACACAAAAATTATTTATAAACGAATAGATTTTAGAGTTACACTTACAATAGATATAATTCCTGCAGAATATGTTTTATATATACATATATATATATAATTAACAAAATATACGTGATATATTGCACATATTTGATACATGTATCAATAATAGGTTATACTATATTTGCATATTATATCTCCCATTTAAATAATTTAATGTTAAATCATTATTTCATTACATTCTATGCATAAATAATTTAATCTACCACTAATATATACTCACAAAATTACTTAATATTTTGAATAACTCAAATATATATTGGGATTACTTTTATTAAAGAGCATAATTTTCTTTAATAAAGCATAAATAACTTTTATTTATAGGCTTCAATAAATTGGTTTAAGAGGCATACCTTGTTGGTACCAAGTGTCATGGAACTCGAAGCAATTATTCAGGTGCCCCGTTTTGACATGTCTTTTCATCTTCTTTGGTTTTAGCATTGTCCAACACTTTTTTTGCCATATAATTGTAAGTTCGGGTAGTGAGAGCTCTTCGCGTGAGAGTGGACTGCTTCAAGCTTGTTATCCATGTAAACATCACAATCGAGCTTAGAACAGCATATACCCTGCCAATTATATTAAATTATTATTAAATGATAGTTCAGTGTAATGAAAATTCAACCTAAATTAGTAAAATACCACATTAACATTTGTAATGACATTGCGCTCGAGCATATCAAAACGGGATGAGCAAAAGAAATCACCATCTTGAAGTTGCATGTCTTCCGTAGCAAACTTTTAATTATGTTTCCATACAATCAAGAGCAATCAATAGTACACTGCTATATTGTACCACCAGTAAACTACAATAAAGACAATAATAGGAAAGTGCAAAGATAGGCACAAATTCTCAATTGCATTCACCTTAATTAATATTAAGCTGTGAAGAGCTTAATTAGAAATCAAATCCAAACAGTGTAGTCATCTAACACAAAGATTATTTATAAACGAATAGATTTTAGAGTTACACTTAGAATAGATATAATTCCTGTAGAATATGTTAAACTAAAATTACTTGAAAATTATCTATATAGATAATTAACAAATTATGTGATATATTGCACATATTTGATACATATAATGTATCAATAATAGGTTATACTATATTTGCATATTATATTTCCCACATTAAATAATTTAATGTTAAATCATTATTTCATTACATTATATGCATTAATAATTTAATCTACCACTAATATATACTCACCAAATTACTTAATATTTTGAATAACTTAATATATATTGGGATTACTTTTATTAAAGAGAATAATTTTATTAATAAAGCATAAATAACTTTTATTTATATTGAGATTTTTTTAAAAAATTATTTTGAGATTACTTTTATTTTTCTCAGTTACCTTTTAATATTTCTAGACAACTTAATAATGGATATCGAAGATTTATAATAAACTAGATTATTCCATTGTTCAAAAAAAAGGAAAAAAAAAAAACTAATTTAGTACCTGCACGTTGTACAGTAGTGATAAGAAAATTTTCCATATTTTATTTATACCTTTTTGTTGCTGATAACTTTTTAAAATGAGTTAGTTTGCTTTTTTTTTTTTAATTTAAAAAAAAAAGTTTGTTATATAAATTTAAAAAATACAGGTTCATAGTAATTTTTTTGAATGGTTATTATTTAATGTTACATTATTATATTTACTTACATTATTGAAAATATACTAATATGATGGCTAAATCAAATAAATTTAATATTGTATTATCTATTAAGATTATACGTTTAGCGTGGAAAATAAAGTAATGTATATAATTAGCTACCAATATATAGATATTGTTTGGTTGATATGGGAACATATTTCCCATAGGCGGTTGCATTTAATTAGAATTAAAATTAGAATTAAATTCCCACATTCATATTCTAGGAATTGCATAAATTTGTATGGTTGCTATGAAGGAATTTGCAAATCATGGGAATTTTGAGTTACTGCAATCCCCACATATTTCATTTTGTTATAGTCAACCAAACAAAACTCTTATTTCTATTACCCTATTTTTTTTGTTCAACCAAACAAGACCATGTAAATGAATATTGTTGTATTGGAAATATCCAAGCACGGAGTATACAACAATATTGATGCCAAAGTCAAGTTTTATATTTTTATTAGTTTCGTAGTTACTTGATCTATTTTCTAGCAAGTAAAAGAAAAGGGCAAAAAAAATGATACTCCCTCCGTTTTAAAATACTTGCTCTATTTCTCCATGTACGGAGTTTTATGAGTAGTTGGAGAAAGTAATAAAATATAGAGGTAGTGGGCCGTGGGGTAGGTGGAAGAATAAAAATTGTAAAAAGCAAAAGTAGTTAAGAGAGTTGGAGGAAAAAGAATATGAAATTAATAAAATATGATTTATGTTAGGTTCACCAGTTCAGACAAATGAATTAAATATTGTAAAAGCTTTCTAAATAAGGAAATGGAACAAGTATTTAAAAACGGCTAAAAATGAAAAATAGAGCAAGTATTTAAAAATGGAGGGAGTATCATTTATAAAATCAGAGAAAAATTTTCTATGAAAACTTAACATGTAACACACTTTATGGAATTGAATACATCGACATAACCTATTTTAGTAATAACAATCATCTGACCCGTCCAATGCATGAGTGTTTAGAGAAAATTGCATTGAAAGATGAGTGAGAAAATACCAATACAACATTATTGTTGCAATATGTAACCGGAAACATGAATAAAGATTAAAATTTTGGGACTTTAATTTAAAATTAGACTTGAAAAAAAGGTAGAAGGACAGAGCATGCACAATGACAAGCAACATTGTCTTGTCACATCATTATTCTCAAACTATATTATTTTAAGGAAAAAATGTAAATAGTCATCCCTCAAATCACCTAAAATTGATTTTATCCCTCCTCCACCCCCCCACCCCCCTTTTGTTTATTTTAAATAACCACTTCTTAAAGTAACAAAAAAATAAAATAGAAAAATAGAAATCACCACCTCTTAACTGAAAGTTATCGATCTTCGTGCCAAAACTTGGTCTATTAAGGTTTTTGGGTCACTTTGGACCCGATTTTAGGTCAAAACACCAAAATAAGTATAAAAAACGCCTCATTTTGAGAGTTTTCTGTATATTGAGGCAATTTTCAACATGCTAAACGAGACAATTTTAATAAATTTTTTTTATTCAATTCTGACATTTAATTGAACCCAAATACGGTACACCGGGGTCATTTGCTCATTTAATCAACACATGAGCAAAAAATTATTTATTTGCTCTTGTGTTGATTAAAAGAGCAAATGACTCTGGTGTACCGTACACCCGGGTGTACAGAACAAGCTCTCACTTGTAGCAAGATGGGATTCTCATGATTGCTCGGAATTTTTTTGTATGGATCCATTTTCGCAGAGCATTGTTTTTCTAGCGTGTTCTGATTTATAATATCATGCCTATTGTTTTTAAAAAAACCGAAAAATAACATAACGAAACAATTGACAATTCAGAGACGAAATCACAAAAGGAGTGTCGTAAGCACTAGGCCCGGCATGCCACACTACTTGCACAGATGCACCATTGATTGAGGCATTGAGCCATTGACCATTGTGTTGCCAAACCATTAAACCAATATTCTAGTCCTCCACGTTCGTCTCTTTCTTCTCATACTACCTTCCTTCCATCTTTCCCAAATTTCCATGAAACCGGCCATATTCCAGCCCCCTCATCCACCAAACTTCAAGATTCCTCAACCTCCATCCCATTTTTATATTATCCCAACTCACAAAGAATCTCCTTTCCCAGTTTTTCTTCTCTTTTCTCCCTCTTTCCAACTCCTTCCCTCCTCCTCCTCCTCCTCCTCCTCCTCCTTCCTCCCTTTCATTGCTGCGATCACACTTTTGAAGCTACGACAACCATCCCTCCTTTTCTGGGTACTCGCCATTTTCATCCTTCTCAAGGTATTCCCCCTTTCCCTAGTCCCCCATTTAATTGTTACTGGGCAATCTCAAAATTTCAATTGCACATTATTAGTATAATTTAGACCTGTTTTGGGTAGTTTTGATGTCGAACTGAAAAGGGTATTTGGAAATTTTGAAGGTTAATTTGTGGGAAGGCAATTGGGAGGGAAGGGTGCTCAGATCTATTTTGGATCGTCCCTTCCCATGGCTTATTATAGTTGGGTGTTTCTTGGGTTTTTAAAACCCCTTTTTATGTGCCTTATAGTTTTGCATCTATGCTGTGTTTCTGTATTTGGTTCTTCTGATTCAACATGCTCAAATGACACCTCTTTGGCCGGTTTTCGGTCCGAGTTTATGATGCTTCAACATCAATTGAGAGGGGTTTTTACCATACTTGATAATTGTTCATTTAGGGTTAGTGAATTTGATATGCTCCCTGGGTCTGATCATGTGCGTTGGTGGGGTGCTGTAGGTGATAATTTTGTTAATTTGACAAATGGGTTTATCATTTCTGATGAGAATTTGGATAGGACTTATAATAATGATAGCTTTGTTGTTCATTTGAGAAGTAATGTTAGTTGGGATCAGATTAAAGTAGTTGCTGTTTGGGATTCTCCCACTGCCTCTGATTTTGGGCATGTTGTACTTCATAACTTGGTTAATGGTTTGGAGATTTCGGCCCCTCCAGCACCTGCACCAGTTAGTGATAGTAGTAGTAATAATGCAACAAATGTGAAGAAATGGCGGTATGAACAGCCTACGATGTTCGAGAACTGTAAGATTTTGTCACCTAAGTATAGGGTTCGGTGGACCTTGAGAGAAGATGATAATGTGATTGATATTGGTTTGGAGGCAGTGACTGGGATTCAGAATTATATGGCATTTGGGTGGGCAAATCCTAAGGCTTCTTCAGGGTACATGCTTCTTGCTGATGTTGCTGTTACAGGGTTTACCGAGGAGGGTATGCCCTTTGCGGAGGATTACTATATTACGGACTATAGTGAGTGTTCAGTAGATGAGAATCATGTTGCTCGCGGCGTTTGTCCTGATTCACTGTATAATGGGTCTGATTCAGTGAATGATACACATTTAGTTTATGGCCATCGAAAAGATGGTGTATCTTTCATCCGGTACCAGCGGCCACTAAAAGCAAACGACCCAAAGAATGATGTCCCAGTGAATCAAATGGAGAATGCGACTGTGATTTGGGCATTGGGTAGGATTAAGCCACCAGATTATCTCCGACCTTACTCTCTTCCCCAGAACCATGGGGGCCCTCAGTTTGAGACCTATGGATATTTACTTCTAAATGTTTCAGAGCATATAAACGATTGTATGGGGCCTCTCGATGCAGTGGACAAGGAAGATCAAGATCTTGTCATTGCAGATGCTAATGCGCCTCTTCTTGTTACTTCGGGGACTGCTTTGCATTACCCAAATCCTCCAAACCCCTCTAAGGTTCTCTACATCAACAAGAAAGAAGCTCCGCTGTTGAGAGTGGAGAGAGGTGTTCAAGTTAAGTTTTCTGTGCAAGCTGGGCATGATGTACCCTTTTACATAACATCTGACCCATTAGGTGGAAATGCTACAGAGAGGAATATTTCAGAGACTATATATGCTGGTAGAGTTGAAGTTGAAGGAGTTCCAGCAAGTCCAAAGGAATTAGTTTGGACACCTCACAGGAACACTCCAGATCTTGTTTATTATCAATCAGCGTATGAGCAGAAAATGGGTTGGAAGGTTCAAGTGGTTGATGGGGGATTATCAGACATGTATAACAACAGTGTTGTTTTGGATGACCAGCAAGCTAGTTTCTTTTGGACCTTGTCTGAAAACTCTATTTCTATTGCAGCTCGGGGTGAGAGAAAAAGTGGATATCTTGCTATTGGTTTTGGTAGTGAAATGGTGAATAGTTTTGCTTATGTCGGTTGGTTTGATGGTGATGTGAAAGGTCGGGTTGATACCTATTGGATTGATGGCAGAGGCGCCTCTGATGTCCACCCAACAAAGGAGAATCTAACATATGTGAGATGCAAATCTGAGAATGGTGTCATCACTTTGGAGTTTACTCGTCCCCTTAATCCATCATGCCCCAAGAAGGATGAAAGGCCTGAATGCAAAAACATCATAGATCCAACTACTCCTCTGAAAGTCATCTGGGCAGTGGGTTCTACATGGTCCAGTGACCCTTTGACCGAGAAAAACATGCATTCTGCTCACAGCAGTCGCCCTGTCAGGGTGATGCTGAATCGTGGTTCAGCAGAAGTAGAGCAGGACTTGAGACCGGTGTTAGCTGTCCATGGATTTATGATGTTTCTTGCATGGGGCATTTTGCTTCCTGCTGGGGTACTCACTGCGAGATATCTGAAACATATGAAAGGTGATGGTTGGTACAAAGTCCATGTTTATTTGCAGTATTCAGGGTTGGCAATTGTCCTGCTTGGATTTCTCTTTGCAGTTGCCGAGCTGAAAGGCTTGTTTATGACCTCCTTACACGTGAAGCTTGGGATGGCTGGTGTTGTTTTGGCCTGTTTTCAACCCATTAATGCCTCATTAAGGCCAAAGAAAGCATCCAATGGTGAATCTCCATCTTTGAAAAGAGTAATTTGGGAATACTCTCACGTAATCATTGGCAGATCAGCCATCATGATAGGGATGGCTGCCCTTTTGACAGGAATGAAACATTTAGGAGAAAGGTATGAAGAGGATGTCAGAAGGCTTACGTGGGCTCTGATATGCTGGTTTTTGTTTGGTGGAGTGACCATCCTATATTTGGAGTACCGGGAAAAGCAACATGGTGATAGAAGCTCAGGAAGAGGCAAGTGGGTTCTGGGTAATGTAGAAGATGATTCTGCTGATCTCTTGAGCCCTACTGGCACGTATGCTGAGAAAGAGGCTCATCTATCAGACAGAATGGAAGTTCAGTTGGAGCCCTTGAACAGATAGCTTTTAAGAGACTCACATTTTTTCATGTTTATACAGACTTGTACTCAATTTTGCATTTTTGTCAATTAGATCCAAAGAAAGAAAAAAGAGGAAAATGGCTTTGCGATATAGGACTATAGGTGAAAATAGCGACTTCATTTGGAGTGAAAGGAAATTTTACTTGTCAAATTCTCATGAACCATGATGTATACTAATTTCGATTTTTGTTCTGGATACTTATGTTAAAAAATCACTGGCTCTCTTATATACCTCTTTTCTGGAGTGCAAATTTCACATTGTACAAGTTTTTCAGCGTTTTTTGCTTATCTGTTGCCTGGAGTCTTAACAATCACTTAAGTACTCCAACTGGTACTTAAACATTTCAGCAGCATTTTGTGCTGTTTTGTAGCAGAAGAGGACTTTAAGGCAAGCAGTAAAACATTAACTGATGCAAATGTCTTGAATGTTGTTGAGGTTTGTGTACATTCATTTTCGAGTTTTATATCACAATTGAGCATTTGTGAATGAACTCACTATTTATTGTGCACTTATATTGAGCAAGCATATATCTGAGTGTACGGATGTTTGATTCAAGTAAATGTAATTTTTTTGTTTTGAATGTTCTAAAGGATTTATAAATTGGCAATGATTGGTGATGAGTGTTAAAAACTGGCATTGATGAGTGATTGCCTCTTTGGATATAACCTCCTCTAGGAGATCAATGGAAGCAGAAAAAAGAGAGTATGCTCAACAAGCCTGCTAAGTAGATTAGCCGATTAGGGGATATGTGCACAACTGCATAAGTCACAAAGCTAGATAAGTAGCTCATGTCTTGTACAATGCTTGTTTAACTAGTACTCTGTACTCCATAGAAACAGGGGCGAGTATGAGTTTTAGTTGGAATTCAATCATTGACTTACTAGATACATTCGCGTTGGGTGTCACTTTTTTTTTATACGTAGTTTTTCCTTTTCTTATTCCCGTTTTCTTTCTTGGCCCGACTCGAATGTTTTGAAACACATTTGGGGTTTTAAATTTTGGCTCAACTTTGTAGTAGAATGCCTGGGCACAGTGCACATTATGTTCAATCTTAGGAGGCTTTGGCTATTAGGTATTTACTAATATATTAGTGTTTTTAATCATAATGGATAAAATTACTTCGTAATAAATTAATCAGAATAATGTGATATTATATTAAATCTTGTGTAATTATAATTATCATTAATTAATAACAACGTACCACCGTTGATAAAATTAAAGTATGTAAGATAAAGAGACGCTTGAGGACTTATATAAATAGTAATATTTTAGAACATGTACATGAGATGAGTTATGATAAATGAACCATTGAAAATATTTTCGGAAGGCAAAAATCTAAATGAAATCGGACGATAAAGTTAACATAAAAAAGTAATTAAACATTGACATGAATCCAATATAGCTTCGGAAAAGACCTTCAAAAATTTATCCAATTCAATAAGTTTATACTCTGTGTATCCAATATTCTAGTCCGTATTTTTTACACATCTCCAAGTAACATTGTGAAAGAATAATGTCAAACATTCTCTATCACTTTGGATATCAGAAAATCAATATCCAAATTGTTGGAGTTTGATATCATACAATTTTGAATCAAACAATCAAATCCAAATCAATAATTTCATTTGAGAGTAATAATTTTTGTATAATTGTTACTTATTGTAACTTATTTCCAATATCCACAAAAAAGGAAATAATCATGATTTTTGATTTTGTTTCCAATAATAATTGATTCACAATACTAAACATGATTTCATTCCAAAATTTACATTCTCATGTACCAAAACACCGTTACATTTTACAAACTCATATAAGGCCCTGTTCACTTCACTTTAAAAAAATAATATTTAGTAAAAATAATTTTACTTTAATAAAAATAAGTTCAGTTCAGCAAAAATAATTCCAGTTCAATAAAAATCAGTAAACACAAAGAAAATTTAATTTCAATTCAACAAAAATAATTTCAGTTCAGTAAAAATAATTTCAGTTCAACAAAAAAATTTTAATTAGTAAAATGCAGTTCAGCAAAAATAATTTCACTTCAGCAAAAATAAGGCTAAAATAAAAAAAATAAAAACAATAGAAATAAGATAAAGTTTAAAAGTAAAGTATATACTAGTATATATATATAAATAAAAACATAAAAAAAAATGCAAAGTCTCATTACTGTGTCTTAACCAAAAAATAATCTAAATCCTTAAAAAAAAAAAAAAAAACAAAAAAAAAAAAAAAACCGAAGTATAACTGTTCTTCTTCTGTCTTTATACTCGTCGGAGAAGGCAACTCAACTGAACAACAGCTAAATTTCACTGAAATTTTTCGCCGTCGATTAATTCGTTGACGGCAGTTTGCATTGTTGAATTCGGAGCTACTAAGGTAATTATTTTGTTCTTAATTTAATCATCGTTTAGAATCTCAAAAATTAATTAGTGATATTTTTTATAAGAATTAGGGTTTTGTATTTCGAATTTCGCTAATCGGGCAATTCGTGATTTCTTAGGGTTTTTTTATGTTGTTCGTGCCGAATAAGCTCGAATTTTTTCTGGGGATGTTATTTTGGTTGATTTAGAATCTCTTGATTTGTAGTTCATGTCCCAGATTGCTTTTGCGAATGCATGAAAGCATAATGCTGGAGAAAAGGAGTTGGGATTTTATCTTTTGATTTTTATTTTTTTTATTTTTTGGCGTTGATATTTGATTAATTAAGTGAAAAATTGTTTTTCTGTTAGTAATAATGGAGATTTTTTTAGCATTTTTAGCTGTCTTTCTTTCAGAAGATCTATTTATTTGGGGCTTTTAGGGTTAGGGTTCTATGGTAAGTAAAAGCTTGAAATTTTGGTGCTTTTATTTTTTGGTGGTAACTTGGTTGTATGAATTTGATGGGGAAGTGTGATAATGTAATTTATTTTCTTGCAGAAAATGAGTAGCTTGGTGGAGAGGCTCCGTGTAAGGTCAGAGCGAAGGCCTGTATACAACATCGATGTATCTGATGATGAGGTGGATTTGGCACGTGGAAAATCTGGGAACCCTTCAGAGAAGCCTGAGAGGATAGCTAGAGAAGATACGGTCTGTGACACTTGATGATTCTTTATTTTCTTTGGTATATTGAATTAAAGCACTCTGTTGGTTTTCAGTTTGAAATTGTGTTGTTTACTGTACATTGCTCAAAACTTACGATCATTACTGTGGTATTTGTGGCCCTGCAATAGTACATAGTAGTTTGTCTTTACTGTTCTTAAAGTGATCTCTGCGTAGTTATGTGGATGGACGTGCTGGTGTGCAAAAACCTAACCTTTCTTCGCATCTTTGTACACAAGTTATAAAGTTAAATACATGACACAAGATTAAAACTCAAGGCTTTGTATCAGGAGATTTATGTAGTGCAGGCTTCTTTGTTACTTGATTGTGTGCATTTGATGAGACAAGATGATTATTTGGTCATTAGATGAAGTGATGCTTCTTTGTCCCTCAGATCGCTCTTCAGGGGAAGGGACATGCCCATTTGATATATATTTCAGGTGTATCAATTTTCTTGCTGTATTTTGTTTTTTCTATGCTATTAATTTGGTTTTCAGGTGCGTGATTGCACATAATGTTTGTATAGCCTCCCATATAGATATATGATTTTGTGTGTAGAGCTGTGTTATCTTGGTTTTGATAATGTGATCTGGACTCCATTGTGTTATTGTGTATGGTATGAGGGTTTGGTTAGAATTATGTCATTCTTTGATTGTGGTGTTCTGTTTGTGGGGCATGAACTGAGCCTTTTTGTGACATTTGTTGTAAATGTACTTTGTATTTATTGTATGTCTTCTAATGGTTTGCAGAAAGAAGATTTATGCCAAACATGTGGAGAAAGTGGAAATCTGCTGGAGTGTGAAACTTGTTCTTATGCTTATCATCCCAAGTGCTTAGTTCCAAAACTGAAAGCGCCCTTCCCTGCTGATTGGAAATGTCCCGAATGTGTATGCTTTTGCGTACAATTGAGTTACTTGTATTAAATTTTTAGGGTATCTTTTGGTGAATGGATTATGTGAAATATTATTGGCCTTGTAGGTTAGCCCGCTCAATGACATTGAGAAAATACTGGACTATGAAACGCGCCCTACTGCAGCTGAGGATGGTGATGCCTCCACGTTGGGTTCGAAGCAAATATTTGTCAAGCAGTATCTTGTGAAGTGGAAGGGATATTCCTACTTGCATTGCACATGGTAATCCCACCCCCCCCCCCCCCACCACAAACACACACATACTCATTTGCTGCATCTTGTGTCTGGAAGCCTATCTGATACCCATTTAAGAACTGATATACATATGTTGCAGGGTGCCTGAGAAACAATTTATTGAAGCCTATAAAACCCTTCCTCGTCTGAAGACCAAAGTGAATAACTTTCACCGGCAGATGTCATCAGTTAACAATTCAGAAGATGATTTTGCTGCTGTTCGATCTGAATGGACTACTGTTGATCGGATCCTCGCTTGCAGGTTTATTTTCTGAAAGAATTGTAAATCTAGTGATGAATGTACCTTCATGCTTTTAAGTACTTTAAATATTTTAAACCATTTTGTTCCATTGTTATGGTTGTCTAGGTTTGGTAAGCATCATTGACTTGTGGTGATCTAGGCTTTAGTTTTTATGGAATATTAACATTTTGTTTGTGCCCCATATCATTTTACGAGTTATCTTTTTTGGCATAGATGGTTATTAATAAGAAAAATCTTTGGGCTATTTTTACAGAATCTAATACTAACCTTCAATTCCTTATGTACACCAGACTTCCATAAGTATTTGTATAAAATATACAGCTGTCTGGAAAGTAGATATGTGTGCCTCACCATTCTTCCAGTTATGGTTGTTCACCCTTCCATTGCCTCAATACTACTTCCGTTCTTTTATATTCCTTACTACATACATATATTTAAGAAATCATTACCCTTAAAAAAAGTAGCCCCTTGATTATTAATTGTCAGTTGTAACACACAGGCTCCATACTCAAACTTACACGCGCATGTATATATCAAGCATATGCACAATTTTTTTTCTCCATGCTTATTGGACTTTATTTATTCTTATTAAGAGCTGTACTGTTCACAAATGCTTGGGGAAGGGGTGAAACTATTGCCAAAATCTATCATCCCTTGTTTGTTGGCCTTTCATCTATTACTCTGTATCTTACCTTTCTTGACTAGTTCTTTTAGATGTGCTGTACTAGGTAAAACATTTTGAGGATCTAGGAAATAGGGGTATTGATATTGCACCATCCCGGGCCATCTTTACATTTTCCACCTTTTTTAGGGTAGTGGGATTTAAGAGGATGAAGGTTTGCAGGACTGAATGAGGATGCTTGTTTCGCATTTGTAGAGTGAGGACATGTCAACCTTTTTGTCTGCAAAGAAAGTCCGTTTGTCACCATTTTAAGCTGTCTATTAATGCATGACTTTCTGAAGCTGTTATGATTTATTACATATGTTTCTATATCAATTAAGTACTGAATATTTTGCTTGTTGCCATTTCTGGCTCACTGTTTTTATTCAATAAGGAAATTAGTGTGATTAATAAATTTGTGTCCTGTATGTATTATATGTTAGATCTAATTGTAGCATGTATTTTTCTCTGTAAAACATGATCTTTGTGTCTTGATTTATTAATTTCAAGGTTGTCTACTGATTTTTATATTATTATGTATTTATCATTTTTTGCAGAGGAGATGATGAAAAGGAGTACCTCGTGAAGTGGAAAGAACTGCAGTATGATGAATGTTCTTGGGAGTTTGAGTCTGATATATCTGATTTCAGGCCCGATATTGAAAGATTCAACAAAATACAGTCTAGGCGTCGTAGACATTCTAATAAGCTGAAAAACGTCCACCGTGATTCTGCAGAATCTCATAAGAAACCAAAAGAATTTCAACATTATGAACAGAGTCCTGAATTTCTATCTGGAGGTATATTAAATTTTTCCTTTTAATGTTTATAATTTTTTTTATACTCCTACATTGTTACTTTATTATTTTTTGCAATTTACCCTCTATGTCTTCTGCTTCCTCTATTGAAATAAACTCTAAAGCTTGATTTGCTTAACTTGAAGGCTCACTGCATCCTTATCAACTCGAAGGGCTGAATTTTTTACGCTTCTCATGGTCCAAACAGACGCATGTGATACTTGCTGATGAAATGGGTCTTGGTAATTTATTGTGATTTTGAATGTGTGTGAGTGTTAATTTTTTTTTCTTTTCTTTTTTCTGTTTTTATAGCTTTTGAAGAATTGTGATGACTGCAGGCAAGACTATTCAGAGTATTGCTTTTTTGGCATCTCTTCTTGAAGAAGGAGTTTATCCCCATCTAGTGGTGGCACCACTGTCAACGCTGCGCAATTGGGAACGTGAATTTGCAACTTGGGCACCGCAAATGAATGTTGTATGTATCCTGGAGTTTCAATCTATGGCCCCAGTACAGGGCTTCCTGCCCCTATATTTCCTCTGAGTATTCATTATGCTTATTGATTGCTAATAAATGCAGATTATGTATGTTGGTTCTTCTCAAGCTCGTAGTGTCATACGTGAATATGAATTTTACTATCCAAAAAAGTCTCTCTCAACGAAGCTTAAGAAAAAGAAATCTGGTCAGATTTCCAGTGAAAGCAAACAAGATAGGATTAAATTTGATGTCCTGCTCACGTCATATGAAATGATCAACCTAGATTCTGCATCTCTGAAGCCAATTAAATGGGAGTGTATGGTAATGTCCTTTATTTTTGCAGCAGATCAGCTTTTGAATCCAATCTGATTTATATAAAGGATGCCATCACCAGTAAAGATTCTGATTTGTTTTAAATTGTCTTCAATTTGTTCTGTAGATTGTGGATGAGGGTCACCGCTTAAAAAACAAGGATTCAAAACTATTTCTTCAATTGAAGCAATATCAGAGTAAACATCGTGTGCTCCTAACTGGAACACCTCTTCAGGTTTTGTTATTCTACCCTAGTATTTGGTGTTATAAATCTTAGCTTAGAGTTTACAATTTACTGTCTGTTTAAAATATGCAACCTCATTTTCAATTTCACAAGGTTCACAATTTTTCTAGCTTTTTATGGTTTCACTGTTGATATAATGATATGCTTGATTGAATTCTGATTAGGTGATACGTAGTCTATAGTCTATTTTTATGTAGCTACGCATTGGTATGAAGATTAGGTGACTTTTTCTCTCCCTTAAAAATGTCTGATTGTCTATTACTTGGATTTTAAAAGAAATGTTAGAAAGAAACTTAGTTATTTTTATAGTTTGCCCATTGATATGTTTTGGTCTGGATACTTGTAGCCTCAAAATTTTAATAATATTGTTAGCTTTATCTCTTCAAACCTTTTCCCTCAGATAAATTCATGCAAATCTCAGGATACTTATCATGTAGGAAGATTTATATTGTGACACAAGAATCATGTAGGGAGATGTTATATTGTGATGGAAATTGTACGTTAGATTTGCATCTCCTCTTTATTCACTCTGGATCTTTTCACGAGAATGCAATCTATTGGAGTTTTATGTCAAAATGGAAGTCCTGAATAATTTCTCTCTTTCTCAATTTTTGTAGATCCATTTATGCTTATTAACCTTGGCTGTTAGCTATCGGCATTGTTAAGTTATCAAGTTGCCATGTTATTCTCATGTCTATAGTTTACATATCTTTTTATGTATCATGAAATGCTTAGATGGCTCTATTTAATATAATACATGTACTCCTTTCTTTTTATTATGATGTTCTTAATAACTATGTGCTCTTGTTTCGAGGAAGTGTGAATCTGTGTGAGAAAAAGGTGGATAAAGTTAGATAGGGTGATTAGAAGGATGGGTGGGTGTAAGAAAAAAAAAATGAATGAAGAAAGAGAGAGTGAGCGGAAAGGTAAAAATATCTCGGGGGAAAGGGGGATAAGATGCTAAGATATATTTTCCAAGTTGAAGTTGGTACATTATATTAAAACACCTCAAATTGAAAGCGGGCAATCCCTCTCTCTCTCTCTCTCTCTCTCTCTATATATATATATATATATATATATATATATATATTCTTTTTTTTTTACACTTTGACCGACTCATAGTTTTAGGTTATTTAATTGACTTCAATATAAAAATATATAAGTGGGGTAGTTGGGGTATTAAAAATTATAAGAAAATATAGTGGAGGTAATAGTATATTAAAAATTAAGGAATGTGAGAGGGTAGAAATAAAAAAAATTAAATTAATAGTGGGTATGTGTGTGGACCATGAGAGGAGAGTCACATATAATAATAATAATAAAATGTAGTAGTTTGTGCAACCAACTAGTGTCTCTCACTCACAAATTCAGATTATATTTCAGGAAGAAGGATTTTTTTATTAATCGTAGCTAAAAGCTTGCGTATAAGGTTTAATGGCTTTAGGCCATAACTCTCCAAAGTTCACAATACAAAATAATTTCTGGACAATCCCTCTCTCTCTAAGGCTAGTAATATTTATACTACTCACTTTGCTACATGATGTGGCATAAAGCCTTAATTGCTCAATTTACTACTTCTTGTCTTCTTCCTAAGTTACCACAGTAAAAGGCTAATAAGCCAAGGCTGCCAGCCAACAGCTTTAAGGGACCGTTGCTTGATCTTGTAGTGGAGGTGTGTTGTGATCCTTCCCCTGCTGCTGCCTACTCTGTCGCCTGCTGTATGTCGGGATTGCTGGTGGTGGTTGTGGGTTCATTACAGTTTGCCAAAAATGGAAGTGTAACCCTTAAAAACAAACTGCCGATTATGGAAAGTGTAACACATAAAAAAATGGAGGGAGTACATCATCATAAATTGTAGGGAGTATACAATATCATGGGTTTTATGGTTTATGAATTTCACTTTATGGTTCAATTCCATTTCTGTCTCTGGTCGATCTTTTTCCTTCTTGTCTGCCCTGATTGGATTGTTGTAGTTTCTTGCTACTAATCCACCTCATGATCTTTTGGTGAATTTTCCAGAACAACCTTGATGAGCTGTTCATGTTGATGCACTTTCTTGATGCTGGGAAGGTCAGTCTTTTGATAGGAGCTTTGAGAGTGTCATTTTGTTATCTTTTTTGAGGAGATCATAATTGTTTTCATAGTTCATTTGTATTCGTCTGTGCTCATTATAAATAAACTGCAGTTTGGAAGCTTGGAGGAATTCCAGGAAGAGTTTAAAGATATTAACCAAGAGGAGCAGATTTCACGGCTTCACAAGATGTTGGCTCCTCATCTTCTTCGAAGTATGAGTCATGAACCTTGTTCTGTTGATGCATTGTTAAATATGTGTGATTTTGCCACTTGATTCAGTTTTTTCTGAAATGAAATTGTTTTATTACGGTTATATAGTATTAGTAGTAGTAGAAGTAGTTAATATCTGATCAGCCATCTGGTGTTGCATTTGTGTTCTATTTTTTTGTTGTCATTGATGATGTTGTTCGCTGTTCTTTCATTCGGCTAGCTAATGTCTTCTTTTTTAGAAGATTGTGCTCATCCGGTTCAAAGTGAACCTGCTGTTGGCATCTCATGAACATATTTTTGTTGTTTTTCTTGTCCCTTCCTCTTCCTCCTGCCTCCTTTTTTGCACCACTTCCATCACATCTTCAATTGAGAAGTTGATCTCAATAAATTAATAGAAAGGTTTGATATGGAAATGGAACTCTTAGTTTTAATCTCTTCTTAATCAGTATTCTAAGATATGAATTATTATATACTAAAATCGAAGTGCTTTTATATGAAATTATGTGAAATATGAACTTTTGTTTAAAAATGTGCTTAGTGTAATGTGTAGTTTACTAGTCTTGGCTTCCACAACTAGTTTTATCCTAGCCAGTTAGTGTATATTTTTTTTTTTAAATTTTTTTGTTTTGTTTTGTTTTGTTTTGTTTTCTGAAACTTGGTTTTTTAATTGGTAGTAGTATGTTTAACAATTACCTTAGTTATTTATGTTGCTGCCCCCCTCTCTCTCAACGCAAAAAAAGCCAAATGAAATAGCTGCAGTCTTATTGGTTAAGCTTGAATGGAAGAGAGATTGCTGGGTTCATTAGTCTGTTTGAACTTTGTTAAAATGTGATGGAGAGGCTATATACTAAGTGAAATTTGGTGCTTAACTTTCATCTATCTAATTTTATAGGTCTTGTTTGTAGATTTGATTATGACTTCAATTTTTGGAATGTCCAGGGGTAAAGAAAGATGTATTGAAGGAAATGCCTCCTAAGAAAGAACTCATCTTACGTGTTGAGCTAAGTAGTAAGCAAAAGGAATACTATAAGGCTATTTTGACTCGTAACTATGAGCTTCTAACTCGTAAGGGCGGTGGGCAGGTGAGGCTACTGCTTTGGCAAATCTGTGTTTTAAGACATGAATAGGATCTAATGTTTGAGTGCTCTTGATTTGCCAGATATCTCTTATCAATGTGGTCATGGAATTGCGAAAGTTATGCTGTCATCCTTACATGCTGGAGGGTGTCGAGCCACTAATACCAGATTCAACTGAGTCCTTTAAGTAATTTTTCATATTTTGCCTCCTAGTGAACCCTTGTCTTGTTTTTGGGATCTATTTTTTTCTTTTGGAGTATGGTCTATTCTTTTTGACATCATCTTTGGACTTTGGTTAACAGGCTGACTTTCAACTTTGAAAATTGCTAACTGCCTTTTTGGTACTGTATGACAGACAACTTCTTGAATCTTCTGGAAAACTGCAGTTGTTGGACAAAATGATGGTGAAGCTTAAGGAGCAAGGACACAGAGTTCTTATTTATACTCAATTTCAGAATATGTTGGACATACTTGAAGATTACATGACATACAAGGTTTTGAAATTGTTGCTTTTTATCTTGATTGGCGGTGCCTTTATTTTATCTTATGTGCTGCATAGTTGGGTTTTCATCTTTTCTGCAGATCTTAACCTTTGTTGGATGTTCTAATTCTGCACAGCCACGTTTCATATGACTTCATGTTTTATGCGACCTTGTTTCTTGCTCTTTTAAATGTGTTGATGTGGAAGTCTGTAGCTTTATGTAGTTCTTGAACAGCATTATATTCTCAATATTTTGATTTATGCTCAACAACTTTTCTATTTAAAGCAAACCTATTTTTCCAAGTAGTCTTTTAGCGGTGGTACTTGATTATATTTTTTTTTCTAGAAATGGCAATATGAACGTATTGATGGCAAGGTCAGTGGAGCTGAGAGACAAATTCGCATAGATAGATTCAATGCCAAGAACTCTTCCAGATTTTGCTTCTTGCTATCTACAAGAGCAGGAGGCTTAGGGATAAACCTTGCTACTGCTGACACAGTTATTATCTATGACAGGTGACTTCTAATTTCCGATTATCAGTCTTGTAATGGCCAAATGCTATGGCTGTGTACTTGTGTTTTATAGCATCATTTTGAAACTCATTTAGGTTACTTGAATTGAGACCTAATATAAAAAATGCTTGAAATACATCAAATTCCAACTTTAATGCTGAAATTCTGGCCAATATCTTGAATTCTAGCACTTTTACACCTGCAAGGCTGCGATTTTAGTTGTTGAATAATTAATTATTTGATTTAGTTTCAGATAAGTAGTAAGATGCTGTAACAAAAATAAATTACTAAGTTGTGGTTCTTTTTTTTTTTTTTTTTTTTTTCCAAAAATAAAATAAAATTAAAAGAGATTAACTTGATCTTGTTCTCTGATTCTGCCCGTGACAGATGTATAGGTAAATCTATGATTGAGGATTGGCTGCTCGCTTTATTGGGATAGCTCTCTGTAGTAAGAAAGTCATTAGATTAGGAACATGTTCCAACTTTGGAATTGGTCTTGAAAGATGTTTGTGGATCGGTTAAGACCACAAATTGGCTGAAATTTATAAAATTAACCTGCTGGTTGAGTTGTTCATGGGAATGATTCATTAAGACTTGTCCTTAAAATTAGGGAGTGCTCTATTAAGCATTGCCGTAAATAGGTAGGGATCCTTGTTTTCTATTGCTAAAAACCCGTTAATGCGGGAAAGGATTTCAAAAGATGGCTGGATATAATTTATGTGGTTGGCTAGCTGCTCTGTGACCTATGTTACTCAAAGTTGGATGTTAGTGTTGGATGCGAGTATGTAATCAGGTTCCTGACCTGGTAATTTTATGAAAACTTTGCATGTTCAGTCTACATTGCAGTGTTAAATGTCCATATTCGTGTCAGGTTCGAGCATCTGATACAGGCATTTAAAGTGTAATTTAGAATTAGAGTAACATAGTTTGGGACTTGACTTTTTTGTTGCTTATGTCATGGTATAAAGGAGGGAGAAGGAAAAGGAGGACTTTGAGTTCGGTTTTGACGATTTAGATGGAGATTTAAAGTAATAGTTTGCATGAGTGCCTGGAGATATAAGATTTGGTGTAGCCTGGAAAGGAGTTGGTGTGCAAGGGCCTTTGGACTTGCTGGAGGTAAATGGAGACCTGATGGTAGTAATATTACAATTTTTGCGATGATTATTTCTTTTGTGGTAATTATTTAGCAGTGTAAATTCAGGTAGGACTTTAGGAGTTTCTTCTTCCCACTTAGTCGTGTTTAATATTTGACTTCTTGGGATCATAAATTTTTTGGGATTCTAATACTTTTGTGGCTTCTGATTAGGCTTGTTTGTTCTTTAATACTTTCGCTGTTTCTATTTAGATGACACGTTCAATTTAGGCACACATATCAAGGAGAAGTGAGATAGACATGTAAAATACAATAATACTCCTACTTAACCTCCTTTTTCCTTCCTCCTACTGACCAGCCATATGAGCCACCACCAGCCCACCCTAACTCCACCCCTCCTTCATCTACTAATTCTAGTCCACCACCACCACCACCACCACCACCCAGATGTACTTCTCCGGTACCACCCTCACCTTCGTCACCACCTTCATCACGTTAAACCCGCAAAATTACTCAACCTTGATAAATATCTAAAAATCCAAAAGCATTCACTGCCCCATCACTCCTACTACCTTTAGATCTCAAGTACTAGAAAAAGTAGACGACGATGACGAAAGGTGACAAAAATAATGCTACAATCAAAGTTCTCGTAATTTAAAATAAAAAGGTTGAAACAAAAAAATACCCTATCTACACTTTATTAGTCTGTTATTACTAGTCTCATTGACGGAATCGAAAGAGGGATGACGAGATTGATGGAAACGAGATCTTAATCTAGTGGGTTAAATCTCGTGGCAATGATGAAGGGTTCTGATGTGTTGAAGGCGGAGGGAGGAGAGAGAATGAGGTGACGGATGAGTGATGGTGGTGAGGAATGAGGTACAATTCTACGATGTGGGTGGTATGTTTATTGGGTCAGGTGAGAGAGAGGAGAGAGATTGGTCTAACAATCTAATATGAGCAGGAGAGAGAATAAGAATAACGGTACAATTGATTATTCACCATAGAAAACATGCCTAAAATAGAAACGTGTCAACTTAAAAAAAAAAAACTTCCCAAAAAGAATACCTGTCAACTAAAAAAAAAACGGAGGTAATATTTAGATCTTGCTGGATGTAATATAATTCCCGAGTCAGGTTATGTTTCTTCATGGTTAACGTGTATTTTATCATTAACCATGAGCTGTTTACTACAGCCTCATGTTTCAACCATATTCTGTTAATTTTAATGTTTCATGTTCTGCATTGATGCAGCGATTGGAATCCACATGCTGATTTGCAGGCAATGGCCAGAGCACACAGGCTAGGGCAAACTAATAAGGTTAATTTTCATTTTTTATCCACTTTGGCAGATTTTATCTTTTATTAGAGCTTATATGGGCTGTCCAATGTCTTTTTAGGAATTTACACTATTGCTGCCTAAACCATCTAACGTAGAGTTATTTGATATTTGAACTAAAAGATGTAGCATAATAGCATTTGGAATGATTTTCTCTTGGATTAAGTTTTTTTTTTTTTTTTTTTTTTTTTTCTCTCATTTTTCATTTCTGCAGGTCATGATTTACAGACTCATAACAAGAGGATCAATTGAAGAAAGAATGATGCAGATGACAAAGAAGAAGATGGTATTGGAGCATTTAGTTGTTGGAAAGCTAAAGACACAAAATATCAATCAGGTTTTTCCCTGTCTGAATTGTCAGATTGACACTTAATTGATGCCTTATGCAAAATGCTGTGGAACTACACCAAAGATTATAATCATCTGTGTTTCAAATCTTCTAATCTCTTTAATGTGAGAGATTATACTAAAATATCTTTGCTGTCATGTTAATATTTTTGGTACTGATAGAATCAGCTTGTTGATAAGTCATTCACTTTGGTTAAGTGCTGAAATTATTTGGGAATAAATCTCGAAGGATTGAGAAAGTAGATGTGATCTTGTGGCATATTATAATCAAGTGTAGGCAAGAAATGCATGCCATGTGTTGGGCCTATCCTAGTGACCTATGGCTTGGTTGATTGTGTTGATGTCTGTGGGTTTGTTACACATTGTAATTTGTTTTCAAACAAGATTGGACTTCACTCTCATCGCCAAACGCTGTTTGACCGAACTTGGCTTTGTGTGCTATTTGGGTGGAACTCGATTCATACTTTCATAGATTTATTAAGTCACTGTCTTTGTTTCTTTGTGACAAGCTCAATGGATCACAAGTGCTACCATATCCATTAGGAACTTGGAAAATCAGTGTATTGTACCATTCTAAGTGTATAATTTATCCATTTGCAGCTTGAGCATGATAATATGGCACCAAATATTGTTTTACAACACTCATAGTTAAGCACTTTCTAACTATCAAGCTGAGTGCATCTACAAAGTTGTTTGCCTGTTGCTTCTTTCTGTAGCTTATAATATGTTGCATGCTGGATGAGGCTGGATTCTGTCGGGAGGTAGTAGTAATGGATTGTAAAGGAGGTATAGCAGCAAAGGAACTTGGTTGGCTCATTTTGAACAGTGTATTTTTTTTCCTTTCTTCTTGTAAGTAGATTTGAGAGGTTCTGAGTGTATGCAATAGAGGTAAGATCAAATTTTTTTATCTGTTCAAATACTTCTTATATCAAATGGCCATAATAGATAGTTTTGGGCAACTTATCATGCTCCATGCTGGTTGCCACTGCGACACGTTACATAACTTCCATTATATACACACAGATACCCCACTAGGACAGATGGAGTAGAAGCTGTGGATACAAGCACACCACGACAGGAGTAGGGAGATAAATGTAACTTACTGTCTTACATATCACTATAAGTTTTCAACGCTGTATAGCTAGTGCCAATTATAGACCCGTTTTTACTTCTATTGCAACCAACTGGTAGATGTTGTCAGTGTCACATTTAATGACCTTGAACTTTCAAGTTAACATTTCAAGAGCTTCCTCACTAAAAAATCTTCACATAAATGACTTTAACAGTCTTCAGTCTAATAGACTCCTCTATTTGGAGAAAACTTGGCCTTGAATCTTAGAAACTTTCAAGAGGTGGACTTGTAGTGAGTTCAATATTGCTAAGTCTCTTGTTTTGTATTTTTGGTGACAGCCTTGACATCTTGGCTGACTAGTACATGCACTTCTAGTAATATTTTTCTTGTACTTGCATGAGCTGATGATTTTTTATTCAATTCCATTTAGTGACCTTGGACTTTGCACTCAAATTTGGTCCTTTGACTACTTTCACCCCTTATTTTTGGCCTTGGATGACCCTATGCTGTACTGTAATTGAGTTCATGATTCATCCTTGTTTGTTGTCTGTCAAAGAATATGTAATTAGGCAAGTCAGTCTTTTTAGGCTGCTTTGATTATGAAAATACAAATGCCAGTGCTGATATTTGGTAGTTTTCAGGAAGAGTTGGATGATATCATACGATATGGCTCAAAAGAGCTTTTTGTTGATGAAACTGAAGAGGCAAAGGCCCGCCAGATTCACTATGATGATGCTGCAATAGATAGGTTAGTACATCTGGTTGTCCTTTTTTCTTTAATTTGAAATCTGTATGTTTGGAGCTATAACGTTTATAATTTTTAGATTACTTGATCGTGAGCGCGCTGGAGATGAAGAGACTACTTTAGATGAAGTGGATGACAACGGGTTTCTTAAAGCATTTAAGGTTTAAATTCTGATTTAGTTTCTGACTCAAAGCCTACTTTTCTTTGCTTGACTATTGATATAGCTTGTAACGGCTTGCTAATGGAAAGATAAATTGATGTTTCTTGTTGATTTTAAACCTCGTGCTTTCTGATTCAATGTATTTACCTTTCTTCTTTAGAGGACTGCTTGAAGTACATTTGCCTTTTCTTTTGTCATTTTGTTGTAAGCTTGTCATGTCCCTATATATTTGTTTTCTGCCAAGACTTAATATTCTGTTGCTAGGATTGAACCACAATTTTAGTTTGATGAGGTATGGTCTGAAGTTAACTATTATGTTATTTAGGTGGCAAACTTCAAGTACATAGATGAAGCTGAAGCTGCAGCAAAGGAAGCAGCGGCACAGAAGGCTGCTGCTGAAACCAAAAGCACTGTGAATAGCTCGGAAAGATCCGTTTATTGGGAGAATTTATTAAAAGATAAGTATGAGGTGCACAAAGTTGAGGAATTTAATTCTCTTGGAAAAGGAAAGAGAAGCCGTAAGCAGGTATTACTTGTGACTTCTAAGCTGAAGATAATGGCTATAAAATATAAATGTGCATTAATTGTGAACCTTCTAATGACTTTTGACTGCTTCAATGCCATCATTAGCTCATTATTATATATTTTTCTAATGTTTTTTGAAAATTATCAATCTTGTAATAGACCTTGTTTTGGGTGTACTACACTATTAACTAAAGAATGCTGTCAATCTTTTATCTCAGCAAAAAACTAGTTCTTGTTTAAGGTAGCGAAAATGAATTTTAAAGTGAATGCAGGATTCTTTGTATATGACATTGGAATGTTTTTGGAAATTTTAAACAGATGCCTATGATGATTAACATATTGCATCAGTAGTCCAGATTAATTGGTTTTACCTGGACTTTTTGCCTTTTTGGTTTAGGTTTGCTAATTTTATAAGACAATTTATATGTTAATGACTGGAGTCTTATATACCTGTAATTGGTCTAATGTATTTCTTGGGTATACCTTTGGTTATACTTATTTGTAATTATCCAATGATGAATTAAATTAGCTTTCCCTTTTAAGTATTTGTTAAATAAATTACCTTTTTTATTCTTTTTTGTTTGTGCCATTCAAAATATAGCATTTGAAGACGTGGACTTTGACTCTGATTATTTATCTAATTATAAGAAAAAACATACTCATGTGCAATCGCGTTAGATTCGCCTTCTCTTTGTGCAGTTTAAAAATAACTTTTTATAATTTTCTAGTTGAAGATGTGGACAATTTTTTGCATTTAAAACTGTGCAAAAAACCAGTAAGGCAAATGGGAAAAACAAAAAGGAATGGACTGTCTTTGTTTCAATATTGTAGGCCACATTTGTCTTGTGTTGCATTTTTTCACTTAGTTATCCGTCCATGTATGGTGCTATTATATTAAATAAATTTGGTGGATTATTCGCAAAATTGTGTAAGATTATTAATTTATTGTCTGACATTTGTAGTGATTGTCGTAAACCACCTGAATCACCTATCAGTTTTTTTTCTTTTCTTTTTACTTTTTTTTTGGTAAAGCCACCTCCTAGTTGTTTTTTTTTTTTTTTTTTTTTAATGAAATAATCCCTTTGAAAAATTTGCGGTGCTAATTTTCTAATTTGGCTGTTTCGCTTCAAGTTGGCAAAGCTTAATTTTATTGTTGTTAAGACCAATTTTAACTCCTTTTGCATTTGAAGTTCTTTTCCATAGGCTCTACACGCATGAGCTGATGGCAATATTGTCAATTTAGGTTCACCAAATTACCATAAAAATATTCTTGTTTCGTCAATCTTACAATTTTTAATCTTTTTTGTCCCCCCCCCTCCCCCCCTCTTTATATTGTTATTTTTTTATTTTTTTTTAATTTTTTTTTATATGAAGAAACCTAATTTATACTTTGTAAATAATTCTTTGTATTGTGAGTAAGTGCTAAAATTAGGGTGAGTATACTGTATTAATTGTGAGTTTATCATTTAGGATCTCTTAAATATAAACCAAAGACAAGTCAATAAAATAAAATTAAGCTTACTTTTATTTTTGTATGTGTGTGTGCGTGTGTATGTTTTTTTTTCCCCTTTGGGGGAGGGGGGTTCGATTCTTGTATTTTTGTGGTTGAAGCCATAATTTGATGGTTTGAGTATATGCACAAGATGGGAAGGCTGATATATGCTTTACACTGTGACATTACCCACCTACAGATGGTATCTGTTGAAGATGATGACTTGGCTGGTTTAGAAGATGTTAGTTCTGATGGTGAAGATGACAATTATGAGGCTGAATTAACCGACAGTGAGACAACTTCATCTGGAGTACCTTCTGGCAGAAGGACTTACAAAAAGAGAGCTCGTGGTATGTGATTCCAGTCTTGTGTTTAAAAGGATGAACGAATGTAAGTTAAAGGATATTGATTAGATGAATATCGTTTGAATAATTCTCTGCAGTTGATGGTATGGAAGCTTTTCCGCTGATGGAAGGTGAAGGGAAATCATTTAGAGTGCTTGGTTTTAATCAGAGCCAGAGAGCTGTTTTTGTGCAAGTTCTGATGAGGTTTGCAGTTAGTTCATACATCTCCCTGCAGTAAAATGAAAATTTATTTTTGTGGCCTGATTGACTTCTACTAATCTCTTTTTATATAGATTTGGCTGTGGCGAGTTTGACTGGGTAGAGTTCGTACCACGGTTGAAACAGAAGACTTACGAAGAAATCAAACAGTATGTATTAATACCCTTTTATAGTCTGAAATTTGAGCTATCATCTCACAGAAAGTGAGGTCCACTCCTTTTGGAAGATCATTTTTCTTAACTGACTTATCATCTGATATATGTCTATTTACTTTTATTGTTGAAATGAATCTGGAATTCTCACAGGAGGTTACGGGTAGGTTGTCGATGGGCCTACATTTGTTAGGATATTAATGAGTACCCTATGTGGGAATGCGTTTAATCTTCTTCAAAAAATGGCCAAATTTCTGAAAAGAGAGACAGAGAGTTGAAGAGATAGTGGAGGTCTTGTTGGAATAAATGATTGCAGATTTGCAAATATCTGAAATGGCTTTGATCAGGATAATGCTAACGACATTTAATTGGGAAATGCTGTTTCTGACAAGGCCTCCTGTCATTGGCCACCGTTATAAGCTTCTCAATATTTGTTGTGTCTGTGTGTTACTGCCTCACTTTGTTTCCGTTTATTTACATACATTTAGCTAATTATCTTTACAGCCTATATAAGCATCTTGTTGCCTTTGTCTGTTGCTGAGCTTGTGTTCGCCAGAGCTTCCTTTTTATGGAAAAGATGTCAAGTGGGCCCAGGTCTTCTTTGCCCATGCTTTGTCTTTCCTATGGCTGTCTGGTGAGCTCTGTCTTTCATGCGCTGCCCTAGACAGGAGATGTGTTGCCCTGGTTATTGACCTTGTCAGCGTGTCAGTTATCTCTCCACTTAATCTCTATGTATCTCTTTCGCTTTAGTAGACAAGTGGAGTTTCTAGTTATTGGGATGAAGGCATAACTTCACAGTCTTGAGCCAAAGGGGGAGCCGAATTCTTATTTTGTTTGTTATGTCCTTGCTTGGTCAGATATAGGAAGATAGTCTCAAATTTACCTTTAGATATTAAAAAAGATTCAGATAGATGTGTGATTTACAGTAGTGTTATATGTTGATGAATGTGAAATTGTGACTGGATTGTTAGAATTGAGAAGCAATTAGTAGTTTAGTACTGTGCTTTTGTGTCCCATCACATGCTATGTGAGTGCAGGAGTGGAGTGTCAATGATTATTTATCATTCCTAGCCTGTGGAATTGAATCATTGTCAGCTCCCTTAGAGTATTTTAGTTCAAGCTATTTCATTGAACGTTAAGTCTTTTTGTGTCTGCTTAATTGTCAAGGTCGATCATGACTTTCATATTTCATTTGTGCATTGGCGGACTGCATTGTTGCTAAGTGTTTTTATGGAGGAAAATAGTTGTTCAGAAGCTCAAAGAAAAGACTGTCGTGAGTTCGTGACCCAGATTTCATAAGATAATGTATTTGTTTTTGGCATCTGGAGTTGTGAAGTCTGTGCACCTTCAAAGGATAGGTTGTAATATTGTTTATACAACAAGAGGAAAGGACCCTATTCTTAAACATATCTTTTAAGCTGGGAGGGTTAAGAAAGTGTATGGATTGAGTGGGCTGGGTTTAATCTTGTAATAAAAAGGTTTTAATTTAAGCTGTAATAAAAGATAACGGAGGAAGCACTTTTTTATATTTCCTGTTTAATTTAATTTTGTTGGCAGTTATTTTACTGATGCCACGTTTATCCAGGAAGAAACAAAGGAAATTTCTCATGAAAGTTTTGTTATAGACCTTCTATGTCCTTTGTTAAAATTATTTAATCAAGGGTGCAAGAGATTGTGTGTATTAGTGTATGTTCAACTTCATGGAAGTTTGTAGTTTGTTTTCCTTTTGTTAGTATGATTCCGTTGAATGTGTACTCCTTAACTTTGATAGCTAGCATAAGTGCTTAAGATTTGCGTAACGTTTGGCTTATATGTTCTGTTAATCTATTGTTTATTTTCTTTTCGTTTCCAGTTTTAATGTCTATTTGAAAAAAATTATGATTACTGGTGTATTGTTTTCTTTGTATTTTCTTTGTACACAGATATGGGGCACTTTTCTTGTCTCATCTCTCTGAGGATATCACGGATTCACCAAACTTTTCAGGTTATTTGCTTCTGCTTTTCTCCATGCATGCGTGAATTTCGGATGTCTTTTAAGAAAATAATATTACTTCCTTTTGTCAGGAATTTACATAACTACTATTCGGCCTTTTTCATCGAGACAATTTGATTTTGGATTGGTCAGTTTCAATTTGCTGAACCCCAATGTTTTGTTTATGCTGATCACAGATGGTGTTCCAAAGGAAGGGCTTAGAGTTCAAGATGTTCTCGTCAGAATTTCAACCCTGATCATGATTAGGGATAAGGTACATGAGATGGCACAAATTTTCTGTTGTGTCTATTTTGATATGCTATGTGCAGAATCCTTATAGGGAAACAAAACGTGAAATATTTGACAAAGAATGGTTATCGTTCTATCATTATAGTGAAGCTACGTGAATTCTGTGAATCATATGAAAATAGCTTCTGCAACTTATACTATGCCAGTCTCTTATTCATGATAAGTCATTTGCTTTACATGTGGTTATTTGAGCCTCTATTTTTGACAATATTGGGCATAGATATCAGCAGTTTCACTCTTTTTCAGTCATGATATGCTGCCAGTATTCTTGATTAACATAATTGTTTTAGCTTCTTAAGTTGATCTGGGTGGGATGATATCCATTATCCCTCATGCCAGATGCTATCTTTTGGTACACAACAGTATACAACCTTATTATTAATGTTCTAAATCTTGATTCATTTTCTGTTTATTGAGCTTGTCTATCCTGAATTATCATACTAAAATCATTTTTTACTGCTTTGTTTTTGTTAATTCCTTTTACTAACCATTTTGCACTACCCAACAGGTGAAATCTGCTTCAGGAAGCCCTGGTGATCCCCTGTTTGCAGATGATATACTTTTGCGATATCCAACTTTAAAGGGTGGAAGGGTCTGGAAGAGAGAGCATGACCTTATATTATTGCAAGCAGTGTTGAAGTAAGTTCTACTCTTTTACTTTGAGCATTAAAAAATTTATCATTTTAGTTGAATACTCTACATGGAATATTGACCTTTCACCCTTAATATGAGAAGTATTAAGTATAGCTTCTTTAGACGTGCAATGACCACTTGGACTTTAGCCCAACCCCTGCCGCGTCTACCTCATCCTTGACCATAGCCACTGGCACCCACTCTACAAAGCCTATTTTTCTTATATTTTCCTTTTTGGAGGGGTTTTGGGCCCATATTAGGTCATAGATTTCATGCCATAGTGCAAATTTAGTTCAGGTATAATTTGGCATGATATATTGAGTTCTTAAAACCTGATCTGATTGGAGAAACTAATTTTGGCACACCCCAATAAAGGAAAAGTAAACCTTAATGAGCCTGACCATATGTGACCCAATAAATTGGAAACCTAAACTCAGATGACATCCGAATTGGAGAAAAACTGTAAACCTTACAAAGACCTTGGAATTTGAGACCAATCCGCATCCAAATGAACAAAACCTGATAACGTGATCTAATCTGATTTGTTATTGACCCAAGCTTAAATAACCCGAAATCATCCAATAGCAATACTAATTCCTAACTGCCATGCTGAGCGATAACTGATTATGCTCTTGAAAGACCCGAGTTGGCCTGACTTCAATTAATACTACCTCGGTACCTACTAAATAGTTGCACCATTTCTTTTTTAAAGATAAAACTTTATAATCTTCTACCATAATTGTTCACTAGTCCTCCCTCTGTTCTTTTTTGTTCTACTTGCTTTCCATCTTAGTCCTTTTTTTTGTTTTACCTACTTTGCTTTATTCTATTTTTGGATTACCCCTTGTACTATTTTACCCCATCAACCCCACAATAACTACAACTTTCCACACACTCTTTTACTTTAATTACTTTTTTCTTACTCAAACCCACCTTTTTACATTCTCTTATTTTATCTTACGCCCTCTCACCTTTTTCAGTATTTTCTTAATTTGTGTATCTATTGTAATTAAGTAGAACATAGAAGAACAGAGGGAGTATGTTAAAGAAAAAATAGTCGAGTTGGATCTTTTTTAATGGTCTTAATGTGTATTTTCAATATACTACCTCCGTTTCTTATTATGTGCAACAAAGAAATATCTTATATTTTACAAATAATACCCCTTTGTTGCACATAATAAGAAACGGAGGTAGTATTAACTTTTTCTAATTTTAACCAATGCACAATCCCAAGATTTTTAAGGTCAAACCAGTGCAATGGATACTGTGTAAGAAAACGAATGATGCAAGGTAGTATTAACTAGAAAATGTCTTGGATTGGGTATAACTCAACCCAAATGCTGAACAATCTCATAAAATGATCCAAATTAACCTGAGTTAGCCTGATCCAAATCTGAAGTGGTTGAATGAAAAAACCCGAGATGACTTATTTGAATATGATTTGAGCAATCACCTGATTAGAAATAGAAAATCTGAGATGACCCGATTCACACACAACCCAAAATAACCTGGCCTGAACTTGGACTCGCCAGATTAACTCCGAATTTCCCAGTATCAAATTCAATTTGATAAATTGGCTTGACTTGAACACCTGAATTGACAGCTCTAGTCTCATCAATTTAATTATAAGGAAGCTAAAGTGAATTCCCTCAAAAAAAATAGAAAATAAGAAAAAAAGTTAAAGTTAATTTGGAAACTACATAACTGCAAAATTGTTGCTCTTGGTCAAAGAAATTTGTACTCTCTTTCTGAATATTATAGCTCCTCATTCCATTGTGGTGTTGTGCTATTTGCTTGTAATGATAATAAGTTTGATAAGTTGGTCATGCCTTAGCTTTATTTTTATTCTGAAGGCACGGGTATGGAAGATGGCAAGCTATTCTTGATGATAAAGACTTGAGGATTCAGGAACTTATCTGTCAAGAGTTGAATCTTCAAGTGATAAATCTTGCTACCCTTGCTGTTGGAGGTAATCAGGCACAAAGTGGATCACAAATGGCAAATAATATAGAACCATCTGGTGACTCTGTGAAGGGCACTGTTAGTCAAAATATTTCAGCTTCTGAACCTGCAGCAGGAGGTGCAGATGCTACCACCTTATTGTATCAGTTTCGAGAAATGCAAAGAAGACAAGTTGAGTTCATTAAGAAAAGGGTGCTGCTTTTGGAGAAGGGCCTACAAGCAGAATGTCAGAAAGAAGTCTTTGTAAGTTCATTTGTGTATTGCATGAACTTTCTGTTATCTCTTATATCTGAGACTGTGGCTGGTTACTGAACAATTGCCTTCTTTATATGGTTTCACGGACTGACGGACCAGGTTCTCTGTCTTGTGCTACATGTATCATAATATGTTTGTGAACCCCCATACTCGTGCACATACACTTAATAATCTACAGTTAATGGCATGGGAGATACAGCCTTCCCGCATGCAACTGATTAATATTTGATAATTATTTTAAATGAGGACTGCCCTTGATACCTGTCACAAGTGAGGCTTCTTTCACCTCAACCTCAGACCTTGCTACTAGCAGGGTCCTTGTTGGTGTTGAAATAAGGAAAGCTGACTCATCCAAAAAGTTAACTATTCCCCAACGGGGCAAACAAAAGTAGCAGAGGGAGTGCCTAGTTTATGTTTCATATGATGGGTTTTTGTCAAATTCCAATAACTAACTAAAATTTGTTTTTGTGAAGCATCACACTGCATGTCTCTCTGGTATCGGCAAATTCTGACTTTATTTTTTAAAATTTAAATGTTTGTAACATAGGGTGATGGGAAGTCTAATGGTGATTATTTTGAAGATTCTGAAAATGGAAACAAAGCAACACACATGGCAACTACAACAGCAGAATATACAGACAAACTTCCTCATATTGAAGTGCTAGGTATGAGCTTTTACTCATTATTATTTCTAGAAGTTGGTAAAAAAAATATAAAGTACTATTTGAATGACAACTATATTTAAACTTTTCTGTTTTTTTGTCCTCTGGAGACTGCAGCACATTTTTACTATTAGCAATTTCCTTCATGTTAGAAAGAATAATGACCATTATTGCTTTTCCTGCAGCTGCAGAAGAAGTATCTTCTGCTAGTCATGATACTGATCCTAAACGCCAGCAGCTGGCTGAACATTATAATCAGGTGACTATTTCTTCAAGATTTAGCTTTTCTGTTCCTATTGTCAGTCTACCAAGATTATGATGTGTATACCTAGCCTGTCAAAAAATTTCTCGTGACTTGTGCTTATGATTTAAAGAAAATAAGAAGAAAAAAAATTGCTTCATCTTTCCCTGATTGAAGTTAAGGATTTTAAGTTGTATTTTGTTACATCTATTTGTGTACAGATGTGCAAGATATTGACTGAAAATGAAAAGATATCTGTTAAAGCTAGTATAAGTAATGAAGCTGATCCGAATTTGGGCAAGACACTTTACCAGCTAGAAGATCTTTGTGGAAAGGTCAACCAAATTTTTGCTATGCCTCATAGTCATCCTACTGCCCATGGACCTGCATCAAAAGATCAGAAACAGCATGATGTAGGTCAGAGTAGTGTTCAAAAATTAGGCCAGCCATCTGATTCTAGCCCACATTTTAAGGCAGAGAACATGGAGGTTCAAGCAACCCAAACTGAAAGTAATCATGGTAACTTACCCGGGCAAGCTTCCGAGGATGTGGAGATGGTGGATGCAGAAGTTGATGCAAAGACACAATTTGATGAAGGACAAGGTCCTGCTACTGATGAACCTGTGCAGAAAGGGGAAGGAAAATAGGGTTTAGATGTTTTAGACTCAGATCTAACCCTATTGTGTATTTCATTTCCTTCCCAAAGTAGTGTATTCAAACAATCCAGAAACTCTTCAAACCACAGGTTTAGTTGATTTATCAAAGGTTACATGAAACTGGAAACTATGTTGTGATCCTGCCTTTTGAGGTTATGAAGCCAAGCTGCTATTATTCATCAATATCTTAGAAGGCAGGATCTTTCTAATCTAAATGGTTGATCCTGTACTTGTCCTATATCATATATGGGACTATGGCAGCCTGCTATAATTAATAGAGGCTCTTTCATCTTTGCATTCTGAACAAAGGAATACTGAATGGGCGCCTAATCACCTATATGGGGCTATGGGTTGCTTCATGATTATATATGTAAAAATCATGTCTTGCAGAATCCTTTTTTGCCTCCTGAGAAGCGGTCAGTAAGCGTTGTAAGAGATTATCATACTTTAAGAAGCAACACAATGGGGTGCATCAACACCCCGATTGTTTACTGACCATGTTGTAAGAGATTATCTTACTTTAAATAGCAACACGATGAGATGCATCAACACCCTTTTTGTTTACCGACCATGAAGAGTATTTGGTAATGAACTTAGATGTAATTTTGCAAGGAAAATTTATGCTACCATTCAGTACCATCTCTTAATTGGTAGTGAATGCTTCTATCTATGTTAAATATAATATATGAGATGGATATGCACTGCCATGAATATTGGCATGAGACTTTTCACAAATTACATATAAATTCATCTACCTTACAACAATTTAGCACTACACTCTACAAAGACCAAAGACCTTGTTCTTTAATTTTGATAGTTCTGCCTTCGATCAACCCTATTAGCTACCGACTGACGCCCCCTCTTATTTTGGTGGTATATAGTCTTTGCTTTATGTACATCCGACATCTTATATGATGCCCAATTATGTACTTTATAGCATAGCTTCATCGTCTTATAAATGTTGTTAGTTTGTTACAAGGTATAAATATTAGTTTCATCCTATGTACCAAGCCTTCAATTCATTTTTTTCTATCATTGTTCGTTGTATTGGGTTCCATCAATTATAAAATGGAAATTTCATATCCATATCATCATATAGCTCCTGCTTCCATCGCGTTCATATCCATTTTCATGCAACCTAAGCAAGTTCTTCAGTATTAAAAGGACTACCTTCGCAGTTTTCATGGCTTAGCTTAGTTAGCTACATTTGCCAGCCAAAGCCGCCGCAATAGAAGACCCTTGTTGTGTGTCACTCTAAGTAAAGATACATACAAGTATTTTAGACTTTTATACGAACTACCAACTACTGCATGCTACTTTATTTTGTGCTAAGAATTTTGGTACTGCGCTTTATGGAGATGTTAGTTAAGGACTTGATTAAGGGTCTATCTATATTAAATCTTGTGACTGATATTAGACCTTAGCAAATATACCAATTAACTATAACATAATAAATAATTGGACATATATTTAATCTTCATAAATTAGGTTTAGTGGTTAAGTTAAAGTCAAATTATTTGTTCTTACATACCTTGTAACTAAATCTAATCAATCAAAGTCTTAATCTCATTAGTGAGACCATCTATATTCTATGTATAACAGTATATTTTATTCTCTATATATCAAGTCCTTGAACTTGTTTGAAATGACAAGTTAATCAGAGTTGTGAATCTAGTGATGCCAAAATTTATCAAATCACATCAAGTATTGCTAAATATCTCGGAATTAGTTGTTCATGCACACCTCTTATAACTAATATTGGAATTCATAACGTAAAGATTAAGATTAAGATTGCTAAGCATTTTTCTAACAAAGTATGGGTTTTATATGTGAGTGTTTATTCTATATGTATGTTTATATTATTTGTTCTATTTTAAACACGTGTTAGTACGTTTCTTCTTTAAGTAATCATGTAGTTTGATATCTGATCAAACCACAATGTATTGACACATACGGGATAGTTGAAATAATGTGGATGTTAACTGAACTTATCGATACTACACCTATTACTAGTTGAACTTTTAGAATCCAACAATTTTGGTTAGCGCAAATGCAAACTTATCTACTACTACGTATTAGATTAAACTTTGAAACACAATATCAACGCAACAGCTACTCGATGGGTACATATACTCGACAGCATATGTACACTCAACCCGGCGAGGAAAGGCAAACACTGCCAAAAAGGAGTGACCAATTTATTTCAATCTATGATCGAATTCACACACCATAAGATAATATAGGAAATGTACAATACAATAGAAGAAGATAGAGATAAACTGGGTATGTTTTAATTCAACCTAATATAATTTATTAGTGTTTAATTAAGTAATAAGATTAGAAAAGAGGGAAGAAAGTGAGAAAAAAGGAAGAAAGGTAAAAAAGTGTAAAGATAATTGTGGGGTGACTGGAAAAACGGCAAAGTGCTGGGAAAGTGGAAACCAAAGAAAGACAAGTTGAGCTTCAAAAACACGCATGCTTTTAACTCAAACAGCAACTCTCTTTGCCAACCTGTTTTTCCAACAAATCACTCGCTTAACTTTGCTGCTTCAATTTCCCACCTCTCTTTTTTCCCCTATTAACAAACAGCCCCTTATTTTATTACTAATTAATCTTTTATTTATTTAGGACTTGATGTATACAAGTATATGTTTTTTCTTTTGTGTTAGTTTTTAGTGGTACAATGTGTGCACAAAAATCATGTTTGTACGACCAGACAGAATCTCCGATTTTTTTTCATAAACTAAACCCAACCTTCTTCACTAAAGTATAAAAAGGTACCTTTATTTTTTCTTCATATCATCTAACATCTTATCATATTCATACATCATGCTACCTCCCCCTCACTCCCAAGGGACTTTGTTGATTTGTTCCCAAACTAATTTGACATGAGCGAGGTTGCAATCTGATAAGACGTCTTCTCCATACATATAATGTCGAATTATGCTAAGAAATATTGTGTTATACACAGTACTAATTGATTAGTCAAAAAAATAAAAATAAAAAAAGGGTACCAATTGTATTATATTGGTGTGATTAACCTTAATTTTATTAGGGAAAAGTATTTAGCAATGATTTTCATATATAGATTTTACTATTTTTATCGACTAATACTATTGAACCGGTAATCAAAAGGACAATTAGTATAGTCGACCGATTGTTGTTAATTATGTATCATGTTGAAATTTAAGGTTGTACATAAGTATTGAGGGGTCTTATATTGTTATGGATAAGGAAAGGGAAGGGATATTAATCAATTTAGAAGGTTGAAGAGCTGTCCGCCCCCATTATCAATTGAATTTCGATGAAATCTCATTTGGTCTTGTAAGAAATCTAAACCCCCATTTTGGAGTCTTTAATTACTCTAATAATTCATCATGTCTTATAAAATTATTGATTAATTAGTCTCATTAAACCTTAATTGCCTAGTGTCTTGGCTTGCTTTAGGGCTAATTAAAGCAAGGCTAGGCAACACAAGGCCAAGACAAGGTAACAAGGCCAAGGTAAGGCAAGACAAGAGAAGACATTTTAAAACATGACGATAAAGAGTGTACTAAAGCATGAATGAGATGGTTTTGAGCACTAAGTAGGACTCCCAAGTCCGTTTGGGAAGCCCTGGATGTATAATCTTGCTTGGTAAAAAATTATTCTTTGAATCCAAATTTGAAGGCTATAATACACGAAATCGGATCAAAGATTTTGGGGTCTGGTGTCGAAAACTCACGAAATTATAAGGAATGCATCTCGGGATCATATAATATTGTTAAGAACCATATACAACGATTAGTGAGTCACATAAAGGCCCATGGTGGCCTTTACCAATGAAAGGAGGCAAAATCAAAGTGGCCGGTTCCAACACTCAAATGATCTTTTGAGGTCTTGTGGGGTCCAAGAAAAACACATTGAGGTCTTTCATTTTCAGTTTTTAAACAGTCAAATATCATCCAAAATGTAGCTTATTATATAATCCACGAGTTTAGACCAAATTCAGAGGTTTCGAGACTCGATGTCGAAAAATCTCGAGATTGTAGGGAATGCATTCCAGGGTCATATAATGATGTTTGGAGTCATGTATGACCACTACTCAACTATTATTATAGATCATGTTGAAATTTAATATTGTGCAAGAATGCTAAAATGTCAAACTATACGTTACATTGTTAGTGAAATGTGAAGAGATATTAACCATTTAGAAGATTAAGGGAAGAGATATTAACCATTTAGAAGGTTGAAGAGAGCTCTCCTTCCCCATTATCAATTGAATTTTTGATGGAACCTCAGCTCCTTTGATCTTATAAGAATTCTAAAACCCTAAAATCATCATGACTTTACTGATTCATTAGCCTCTTTAAACTGTGGTCATACAAGTTATATATGTATAATGTATTAGTCATATTGTTGTCACATTGTCTAAAACACTAACTAACGTTAACATATTTTACATGCATATATGTAGAGTACATTATACTTCATATAAGTATTGAATTCTCAACGTCTCATCATTAATGTGAAACAACAGTCGTGCGTATTAGAAAATACTATTAATTTAATTAGCATAAACTATTATAATAATAATAACATAGGGAAATGTGACAACTCCTTCCGAACATTGTATATCCTTCATATTAAATTACATGGGATGTGACCATCTATCAATTCTGGACGAAGAGAGTACACCTCCATTATATTGGAAAAAGTTGGCGATGGACAACTTGATTGGTAACAAAGATTTTTCGACCAAAGACAAGAAAATTCTTGGAGAGCACCTGTATGTTACCAGAATTTCTTGGGTACTTCAAAACATTGCAAACAAAGCTCGCTGTAACTAGAATCAAAACACTTTTTACAACACCTTTGTCTCTCTTCATTATTTTGCTACTTTTCTGCCTTAACAACTGCATTTGTTTCCCATTATTAACAGCTTAATCACTTATTAATTAAAAATCACTTGGACAACCATAACATTTCATCCTTTATGTATTAAATTTAATTCAAGCAGGTTCATGAATATAAGTTTTGCACCTCAACTTTATACATTATATTTTTATTATTAATTATTCCTGAAATATATATACTTCATTTTTATAATTTAGTGTACAACTATTTTTAGAAAATTATAGAAACTACTCATAGTATATGGACGAACCGGCCACCTTTTAACCGTGCATATCTTTATCTCTGTCAATTTATTAGATAAAATAAGAATAAAAAAACAGTGGGAACCAGACAATAAATAATATGTAGTCAAATATAATTATATAAATTTTAACTTTCATGTCATTTACACAAATATAGGTACAGTACCATGCAAATTCAATGGATTTTTTGCAAGTTAAGGATTTTTTATTTTTATTTTTTAAGGGCAAAAACCATTCTAATTAATTTATTAATACGATAGATTAAACAAAACCCATTAATAGAGACAAAGGTCGGCTGCTAGGAATCTACTTCCCTAGCTACATATCATTATCTTCTACTCAGTCTCTCCTTATATATGTTCATAAACCCTCATTCATCTATATCTCATTAAAACCAAATTATTCATTTTTACTCTATTACATATTACACTAATTTATAAGTTTTATTTAGCAAAAAATCATGGCTAGTGTTTTTGTAACAAAAAAGGTAAATGTATATCCAAAAACCATGCAACCTACCAAAATTATGAAGCTTTCCAATTTAGATAGGCAATGTCCTACACTTATGTACTTGGTGTTTTTCTATAATCCTTCTCATAATCATAATTATAGTAATGATTATTTATTTAGTAGCTTGAAATTGGGTTTAGAGGAGACGTTGTCGCTGTGGTACCCGGCAGCTGGGAGATTAAGCAAAAACCCTAATAATGGGAATAAGCTTGATCTTTGGTGCAACAATGGCGGTGCAATTATGGTTGAAGCTGTTACACAAACTAGGGTTTCGGATCTTGGTAATCTTTTTCAATATAATGAGTTTTTTGATAATTTGGTTTATAAGCCTACTTCTGAGATGCCCCTTCTTGTTGCTCAGGTAATTTAGTCTAATTTGGTATATTTTAACTCTTTATTAGAATATTTACATTTTAATACGTGTATATTATTGCAAGTTTCACTATAATATGTATGTTATATATTACTTCGTATACATATAGTATAACATAAATTAAGTCCAAAGTCCTTGAATTGCCTTAACTCCAATAAAATTTCATTTTGTTCCAAATAATATAAAAAAAGATGAAAGTCAGAAAGGTTTTGTAATTTGTAAGTTTATAGTTGTACTTGATGTGTACCATGAAGGTTATATGATCTTATTAATGTTCTAAAACATACACTTTAGTTTTTAATTTTGTATATAAAAGCTGTTGCGCTTCTTTCACTCTTGTTGATTTGTTTTCTTGTTTGTTCATACCCAAAGAGGAAAATTTAAATACTCCTTATTTTATCAAAAAGATATTCCTACATATAAATTTTTATTATAAATAATGTTCATGACTCATTATTGCAAGTGCAGTATTTAATTTTATTATATTCTCTAAAATTAGACCATATTTTTTAGAAATTTCAAGTGAATCACGTACTAATTAACGAATTCACTTGAAATATTAATATCCATGAATTTATTTGCCAATAGTAAATTATACAAAGTATTTATATGTATACTTCAATGATCTAATAAACGGAAGTATATATACTCTCCGGGATCAGACTATCGATCTAGTCCATACTCGGAACAAATTTATAATATTTTTAATACATGTGTAGCCATGTAGGTATTCTGGGATCTCCCTAACTAAATAGGGCGTTAACTTAATTTACTCCAATATAATCTCAAGGATCAACTAGGAGTTCCTCGATTTAGTTAGAGTTGTGTGGCATACGATTGCATCGTTTGTAACCATACTCTTTACTTGTTTGATTAATCTATGCACGCATGACTTAAAAGTGTTAGTGCAGGTGACAAAATTTGGATGTGGAGGCTACTCAATTGGGGTAGGAACAAGTCATGCACTTTTCGATGGACAAGCAACCTTCAATTTTTTATCAGCTTGGGCTTCCAAAACTCAAGCTACTAAGCTTGGAATTAAGGCACTTGATTGGCATAAACCTGTGCATGACAGAGAAAGATTGTTACACCTCAATTCCAACAATAATAATCCAGAAGCTGCATTAACAAAAGTCGCGGCTATTCAACATTTGTACCAATTGATCACCCAAGCAGCTCCTAGTGGTGGCATGCTTATGAATCCTCAATTGTTTGTGCCGTCGTCTATTAAAGATGATTGTGCTCTAAGGACCTTTCACTTCACCTCGTCGATGATTGATACCTTGAAGAGGAGAACTTATGGCCTTAATAGCTACTCTTCCTCGTCGTGTTCATCTTTTGAGATTGTCACTGCACACCTATGGAAGGTAAGTGTTCTGAGCTGGTCTCAACAATCAATAATTGGTTAAACCTAACTGTACAACTTTGAATTGGATTTTAATATTTTATTATATACTGTTGTTCATGTTAAGTACAAAATGGACGAACAACGTAATGCATTGTCATCTAGGTATTAACTATTAAGTGTGTTTGAATGAATATTTGGTTATCATAAGCATGGAAATCATCTGCTAATAAGCAATTGACTTAAGATTTGCGCAGTTATATTGAAGTTGTGTTACTCTTTGAATTGGTACATGGAATGAGCACGGTAGCACTATTTGCTACCTACTTTTGTTAAACTAGCTTTAGTGTTTAGTCTACAGGTGTATCAGTTTAACATGTATGTACCACGTACCATTTCACACATGTTAGGTCACGGTTTGAGAGATGATTGAACGTAGCTACATTATTAATTATAAGGAAACCCAGAAAACAACATTAAAACGCGAGTTCTGATGAATGCTATATCTATTTATAGTTTGATTAATAGCTAGTAAGATTTATGTTCATTATAAGTTTACAACATTTAAATATTTAATCTTATACTATACGAGTAGCATGTATTATGGACTAATATACAATACTACAGGCAAGAACAAAAGCACTTGGGCTAAGAAGAGAAAGAATGGTATGTCTCCAATTTGCAGTAGACACAAGGACCAGACTCACACCCCAACTCTCCCAAGGCTTTAGTGGAAATGCTTATGTTCTAGCCTCCGTCGCTCTCACTGCCGGTGAGCTTGAGCTCGCAAGCTATGAAACCCTTGTCAACAAGATCAAAATGGCCAAGAACTCCGTTGACAATGATTACGTTAGCACGTATCTCGAGGTACTCGAGGGGTCTGGGGACGCCCTACCATCCCTAAGGGAGCTCACCATGGTCTCAGATTGGACTAGAATGCCATTTCACAAGGTTAATTTCATGCACCCTTATGCAAATTCAGCTGTTTCTGCATGCCCTTTAACTCCTCCTGTCCCACAAGTTGCATATTTTATGCAAAGTCCTAAGGAAGACAAAGGTATTGATGTGAGGATTGGATTAAACTCACAAATCCTTACTACATTTTCTCACTATTTCCTCAACAATATTTCTTAACACCCACAATTTATTTTATTTTGGTTTGTTCATCTAATTTTATTTACTATTGTTACATATTTCTCTTAGAATATATTACAATAGCTACAACTTTATTGTAGCCATCGAAAGAAAAAAAAATTACACTAATTATTAATTAATCTTACGTACTGTTGTAATGACAACAAATATATTGTAATTTGTAACCATTGTAAAATCTTCCGGTGGAATAGATGTTAACGGCTAAAATTAAATGTGTCAACGTATGAATGGGTGATGAAGAAGGTTGTAAATTATAGCCCTAGATAATTTGGCTTCTTTCATGCTTATGTAAGGTGACATTAGCAAATATTTACCCTGAAATTAAATGTTTGTGTACTTTGGCATTATGATTATTAATCATATTGGTGGGATCTTTGCATTGTTGAAAGATAAATCTGACAAAAATGTCTTTAACATAAGAGGTAGTACAAAAAAATTATTGTCTTTATTATTTTTTCCAGTAGATAAATAAATATCTTGTTCAGAGATGGGATATCATTTGATTGCATCTACATGTCAGAGGAGTAATAATGGGATACTATCACTACCTCATCCAATAGATGCCTGGATACCATGAAATCTGTACATTTCGAATCTGACAAAATACATATCAAATTATAATCATAAACATAATTAAAAATGGAAATCATTAAATGTTTAGCATAAAGGCACAAATAACGGTAAGGATGTAGATGCATGTTCTATTCACTTGAAATTCAATTAATTGTGACTTGAATTTGGATAGCGTTTATTTAAATGTGTTTGAACTTCTAGGCCATCGTGTTAACTTAATTGCCTTGAAAAAAGACTGCATAGGACATAGGCGGTATGTTGAGCTTGTACATATAACTTCAAGAAAGTCTAGATGGAAGCAAATTTCAGATATATTCGAAAAACGCGATTCATGTGAAAAGAACAAAACCTTAAATTAGAGAATGGGGCATGGTAAGCATCTGAGTACCAACTAACCATAACATTTATTTAGAACAGCAACTACTTAGCCTAAAACAAAGGTAGCAAATGTATCATAAAATTACAAATAAAGGAGATTCCCTGAATCGGGCTGTGCTTCTCCTGTTTACCTTCTACCATTAAACAAGCCTTCAACTAACTAGGAATACATATCAGATTCAAAATCCCCATTCTTCAACATTTTCACATCCTGTTCCTGAAACAGAAACAACAAATTAGTTTAAAACAAAAACCAGCATTGCTCAAAACATGGTGACATACAAACTACAAGTTAACTTATAGGCATGCTTTCACAAAGGTATGAATTCCTATCCTGCAAAAGGTCTTTCAACTACGATAATTTTGAAAAGGGGAATATAGAACTGACTTCAGTGGCTTCAGACCCCACAGTGAAGTAACAAGTTTTACAGGATAATTTTCAGCACATCAGATTCAATAATCAAGGGTGTGAACCTAGTTCAAGAAGAATACCTGCACAAAGAAAACGAAAGATCATACAGGCTTAAACATCGCAGTCACAACATCTTCCAAAGACCCGGCACCATTACCAGCATTATAGTTGCCCAGAGGCCTCCCTCCTTGTTCCATGAACTGCCCTTGCTTTGTTTTTCTTGTCACGTCAACTGCTGAATTTTGGAGCATCTGGTCATGCTGGGTGGCTAAGCAATCAAACCCCGGTTGTCCCATCATATCATATCCTGTATCTCTATTCCTGCTGCTTGGATTGTATGCACTGTGAGTGCCAGTCACTGAAGGATTCGCCGAGCCATCCAAAAAATCTACATCCCATACTTGCTTGGCCACATGACTCGTGTTCTGCATCATATTCTCACCCATCATGTTCGAGTTCTGCAACCGGTTTTGGATAGAGATATTTGGTGAAAAATCATGCACCCTATTGTCCATGGGACTCATAGAATTTGGCTGCGATTGGACAGCTGCAGGCCAACTGCTACTACATCTATTATGATCCAACAAGTTAGGGGCAGAATTCATGTTCACCTCAAAACTGTCAAGACTTTGTCTTTCTTGAGAAGAACGACCTTGCATCGTCAATGAACTGTTAGGAAGGCTGAGAATTGAATTGCTTGAGCCACTTAAGATGGTATTATTTTTGTGGAGTTGATCAAATTCCAATGATGTCGGCATCCCTTGAAGTACATTGCCAGTATGATCCCCAGCAAACAAGTTGGGGTGGAATTTGGAGTCAGTGATGGAAGAAGTTGGATTTTGGGGCTGGCTCAACTGAATAAGTCCAGAAGGAGGGAGTCCGTGAAGGCCGCCCATCCCAGCTGGAGTGTTCAACCTGCCCAGGACTCCAGGGGGCGGGATGGGTCTCAGAGAGTTGTTATGGAATTGTGGACTCGCATTGAAGCCATGAAAATTCACTGCGTTCATTCTGAGATAATCAGGTCCTCCAAACGCGGCAGCCATGTTAGCTTGCTGATTAGCCACTGCGCTGATTCTTTTCAAATACAATCGATATTTCTAGAAAACACAAAAGAGAAGGAAAACTCTAAGTTTGAGAAAACAGTGTTTTTCTACAAATATAAAAAAACAGAGTTTGCGGAAATTTACTTGGAGATGACTGGCCACATTTTCTCTAGTAAGCTTATCGACATTCATTAACTCCAGGATTTTCTTAGGCACAGCTTCTGCATTTCAAAAAGAATACATAATCAACATTTAAAATTAGAATCTCAACTCTCAAGTACAAAGTACAATAGCTATCAATGATGACAAGAATAATGAAGTTAAATTGTAAATAATGCTTTCCTCAAAAAAAAAAAAAAAAAAAAAATTGTAAATAATGCTACAAGAACAATCTTGCACTACTCTCTGGACCCCTTCAGAGCTCTTGGATCAGAAATGAAGCATTACAATCATCATTATAAGTTGAATTACATATTAATAGCAAAATTTGGTGATAATGTGTCCTCGGTACCTCATGATGTTCCTATGTAGCTTGATAGCTGATACTATAATATAAATTAAGGTATATATTAGGATCAGACAATTCTATATAATCAACCAAGATTGAAGAAAAAACCGAGAATTCCTTCATTGAAGGAGTAACATGCTAGATCCAAAGGAAGTCAATCATATCAACTTCATGGAAATGTAGAATGACCATCAAAAGGAAACTATAGAATCATCATAAATTCTGCAAGAACAGGAGAATAAGAGGGAACATACTCTCAAGACCAAGCTGGTTAACAGCAGCAACAAACTTGCGATGCAGATCCACGGACCAGACAACACGGGGTTTCTTCTGAGCAGAAGGGTCTTCATTTTCATTATCATCCTCATCTTCGTCTTCATCATCATCCGCGTTTTGGTCCTTCCTCTTTCTACAAAATTTCGCATCTTGATCAGAGTTTGCACCTCCAGTTCCATTATCTCCACCGGAATTCTTGTCCAGGCTGTAAGAGCTGTTTCGGTCCTTAGGATCAAACTTCTTTCTCCTGACTACATGCTGCCAGATATTCTTCAGCTCCTCCAACCTCACGGGCTTAAGCAAGTAATCACAAGCTCCATGCGTAATCCCTTTCATTACCAGCTTGGGATCACCATTAGCAGACAGCACTGTAAAGATAAGTTTTCCCATTTTAGCACGTAAACTTGGTGAGAATCACCATCCCAATCACTAATCCATTGTGATTTAGTAATAACCCACATAAAAGGACAATCACTCTAATTAGCCGCTTAAAAGTCGATCCACTATTACATACACCAAGCCTGCCCCAAATATTCCGGTGTTTAAACAAGATTTTCTTACACAAAACCCACTGAAAACTCTATGTTCAAAGTTAGTATTCACATTTTTCCTTAACCCCCCTCATAACTAAGTGTTCACTTTAATTTTGCTTCAACTGTCTTACTGATAGTTGCCTCCTTTAAATTATTTCTCCAACAGTCCAATGTTCTATTTACGTGAGAGTATGTTTGGAAATTCAGTATTAGTCTAACTCTACTTCGTTGAAGATGACAAATTTTTCTAGGCATCCCCAAATAGCATTATGACTTTATTACAAGCGAAGAGAGCATTCCACAATAAATACACAAAAGTTTATCCAAATAAACCCGCCTCCAAACTAACTGGCTTAGAACTGCCCTGACTAACCAATTTGATAAGTCTTTAAAAGAAATCATCAAATTGAAGTGAGGTGAATGTAACCAAGCAAATTGAGCCTACAATCAAGTCCTTAATTTATTTCATATGCAATAATCATTCTGGAAATACACCCCATCAATGCAGATATTCTACATTATTGTATAATAATGAAATGAATCAAATTGATTTCTACAATTAAACATATTTCTATAAGTAGAAGATACACAGAATATGAATTAAAAGGAAATGAAATCAACAATAAAATGATTTTCATAGCTTACTTATAACAGGCAGGTCCATCTCAAGCCCAACAAACTCAAGCAACTTAAAACCATCCATGTCCGGCATATGAACATCGCTAATCACGAGATCGAACATGTTCTTGTTTTCCCTCAGCATCTTCAGAGCCTTAATGGCTTGGCTTGTCGTCGTAACTACAATGTTCAAAACTCTCATACATCAGACCATCATTTACCAAAAAAAAAAAAATTGAATCATGCAGTTGAAACTTATAGACATTGTTACACTGATTTTGCAACAATATTAGCAAATTCCAAATTATTAAAATATGGAAAAATTAAAGGACAAGTCAGTAATATCCCCTTAAAGTTTGCAAATAGATCTCACCGGTCAAAGCTAATTACTCAAAAAATATGATATGGGGTAGAAAATTCAACCCAACTTCACAGATTGTTCATATTACAAATTTAGTTACTGTAGATTATAAATCAAATAAACCCAAATTATAGGCATTCAATCTGAGGATCTAAATTGACAAAAACAAAAAAAAAAAAAAAAAAAAAAAAAAAACACACACACACACACACACAAAGTCACAATCTTTTCAACGCAAATCTGAGAATCTATTGATTGCAAAGAAACTAAAAATCATGCTGAAAATTCACAAATTGGAAAAAAAAAAAATACATATAATATCTGAATTATTATAAAATCATCCAGATGCAAAATCAATAACAAACACACAATAAAACAGGGGGAAAATCCAAAAAAAAAAATTAAGAATTGCATTTCATTGTTAAATTAAGAGTAGCAAATTAGAGCACTTTCAGAGCAATTATTAGTAAACAACACAGAAAATTATTCTAGGGAAAGAAATGAAGTATAAAATTATTACTAACAAATTATACAGAAATCCAAGAAAATCATCATAAATCTAAAATCCCATTATAAGAAAAAAAAAATTAATGAAATAAAAATAACAGATAATAAATTTAAGAAAACATACCATGATATTGGCATTTTCTCAAGAGAGATTCCAGAAGCCTAAGACAAATAGGGTCATCATCAACAGCCAAAACTCTCATGCCCACTGGAAATTGATCAATTGATTCATCTTCTCTTTGTTCAACCGTCATCTTTTTCACCAAATTATCCCCAAAAACTCAACAAGTTCTTATCTTTTTTTTTTTTTAGGGAGATTTGTGAACTCTGCTTTTCTCCTGTTTTAAAACAGAGCAATACTAAAAGTCTAAATGAGGAGAGAGAAAAAAAATATATAAAAAAAACAGTAAGAATTAGTTAAAGTCACTATCAATGAATTTCAACTGAGAAATTTTTGAGAATTTATTTGCAGAAAGAGAAAGACAGGATAATAGGATGGATGGAAAGAGTTAAAACTTAAAAGGGAGTAAAAAGGAAGACTTTGAATTAGGAATATAGGTACTCTGCTTTCTTTTTTCTTTTTCTTTTCTTTCTTTTTTTTTTAATATTTGTCAATCAATTAATTAAAATAATTAATTGATTAAATTTTAAATTATGAGAATTAAATGTTAGAAAATTATATGGAATCTGACTTTAACGTTTAACCATATATGGATGGCACTGCGAAAGCTGGATGAAGCATGCAAGCAGTCAGACTTGCTGAAAGTGTTGCTCCTTTTATTTAGGTTTTTTTTTTCAATTGTAAGGTATTTTTTTATTTTTTTTAATTACGAGTAAAAAATTTTAATTTATATACTCCGTACGAAGTATAACACATGTAATAACAATCAAGTACTCTGTCAAAAAAATATAATTGTATATAAGTATATAATGATTATAATTATAAGTATTATATAAATAATCAAAGTCAATTTCAAAAGCAAGAGGCATGGATCATCCATTCATCTCTAGTCTCTACCTTCATAAGCAAGTGATAAGCTAGTACTAGGACATAAATGCAAGTGATAAGCAAGAGGCATGGATCATCCATTCATCTCTAGTCTCTACCTTCATAAGCAAGTGATAAGCTAGTACTAGGACATAAATGCACACAAACATTTATACTACCTCCGTTTTTTTTTATGTGCAACTTTGGCACAAGTTGCGGTTCACGAGGCAAAAGATTGAAGGGCAAAGATTAAGAAAGTATAATGGTGATTAATATATTATAGGAGTATGTAATTAAGGTGGAGAGAGAATGTTTGGTTAATTAATCAAACCACCCACTGCCACCACCATGCCCAGCCACCACCACCGCTGGCTTTGGGAAATTCTACATGGTGGCTTTCAGGTTTCACTTTTTCTACGTGATAAACTTTTTTCCAACTCTCTCAAGTGGCACCCTGATTTTGCAAAATTAAGTGTAGAGTCCTTTTTTTGGTTTTATGGCTAACTTTTATAATTAAAATGATTAACCTACGATTTTTTAGTTTAAAAATTAATTAAATTATATTTTAAATAATAAAATTAAAAAACAAAAAAAAAAAAAGAAAATTGGCAAGCCCAACCCCTTCCCCGAGTGCCGGCAGCCGCCCAAACCCCCTTCCCTTCCTTCTGGTGCCGGCGCTGCCCCGACCAAATATAGATTGATGCTGATTGCTATGATTATGGTCGAAATTGTAATTGTTGGTGGCTGAATTATCGATTGTGGGTGCGAATTGCTGCAATTGTTGTTGTGCTCCATGGCGAATCGGTGGGAAAGAGTGCGATTAAAGTTTGGGCGGTGATTGGTTGTTGCACGCTGAAGTGTGGTTGCGCGGAGAGCGAGAAGCAGCAGGGCTGCTTTAATGTTGTGGCTGGAGGTGATGGCGGTTGTTAGCGTGTTGGTGGAATTGGTGGCAACTAGAGTGTCGCAAGTGGTTGTTGTGTTGTTGCGGTGGCTTATTTGGTTGTTGCGAGGATGCGTAGCTGCTGTGCGTTGTTATTGGGTTGTTGTGGAGGATGGAGATGGCGAATTTAGGGAGGAGGGGAGCTGCGACTTGGTGCATGTTGGTGTCTCGGGGGTTGGACTGGGAGGTGGTTTCGGTGGTCGGGGGTTGGATGGGAGGTAGTTTAGGTGGTCGGGAGTTGGCTGGGAGGTGGTTTTGGTGGTCGGGAGTTGGCTGGGAGGTGGTTTTGGTGGTCGGGAGTTGGTAGTTGGCCGGATTCCGGCAAGGTTAGGGTCTACGGGATGCCTGGGAATTTTTGGGAATTTTTTTGGTTTTTTTTTTAATTTTATTATTTTAAAATATAATTTAATTAATTTTTAAATTAAAAAACTTTAGGTTAACCATTTTAATTATAAAAGTTAACCATAAAACCAAAAAAAGGACACTACACTTAATTTTGCAAAACCAGAGTGTCATTTGAGAGAATTGGAAAAAAGTTTATCTTCCACGTAGAAAAAGTAAAACCTGGAGGGCACCACGTAGAATTATCGTTTAGTATTTCGTATTGTATATATATTTGATCTTTTTATGTTGGAGTAGTTGCTAATATAATATTATACTCTTTCAAATTGCTACGGAAGTTTTTTAAGGTAATTGTGATTGTTACAATAAATCATCTTATGTATATCAATTTTAGGTTTTGAGCCATTGAAAGACTATCCAAGAAAAGTCAAATATCCAAGTTTAACCCAGATGCTTAAGATTAGAATTTGTGGTCAACTAAATATTTTGTAGTCCAATCAATTTCTCTAACAAATATTTATTTAGAAAGCTTGACGCCAAAATCTTATCTTGAGACTTTCGGTTTCCAAACTCGACCCCAAAAGCTCGACGCCAAATTCTTGTCTTTAGAAAGCTCCACTTGAAACAATTTGTTATGAGATCAAGATGATTATTGATTGTACGACGCCAAAATTTTGTCTTGAGACTTTCAACTTCAAACTTTTATTAAGGATTTAAGGGTACCCTAGCCCCCCTTCAAATTACTCCTCAAAGAACATTTGTATATAGCCTCTTCATCAACATAAACTTAATCTCAGACATATAAGATGAAAACACAAATACTAACCACACAACTAGTTACTTAATTGCAATTGCAATCAATGAAATATACATTGAGTTTTAATATAATGTAAATCTATTTACTGTTAATTGCGTGCATATAAAACTAATTTTAACGACTTTCATAAAGGGAGATAATATGATTTGAGTAATAAACAAAAAGCTACTAGTATCATTGATTGGAGATAAAAATAAAGATGTGAGAGGCCTTTAAACCTAAAAATGGCAGTTTGCGTAGAATGAATGTCTTCCAAAATAGTAACGACAGTCGTTTGTTTTGACATCAATAGTTTTGATGTTTCCGACCATACATATCTCTTTGCTATACGTTTGCCCTCTAATAATGGGAAATCATAAAATATTATAGGATTTAGTTTGCTCCTTTTCATTTTTCATTTATTTTCCTACATATTACACCCTCCATTTCTATTTACGCAACTTTTTTTTTTTTCCTTTATTTCTCTTTCAATTGGAAGATTGAATTGAAGTTTGGAGTGGTTTCACGTAGACTCCTTTATTTTCTCAATCATGTATCTAGTCATTTTGTCTATGCCTCTCTAAGCTAGTCTAAATTGTGTTTGGTAACAATTTTTAGATGTTGATTTGCTCTTTGAATTCATTATCATGTTAAAAAAATTAGTTGACTATATATATAATAGACGTAATATTCCACAAGATTATTCTACTACATATTACTTGTCATTTGGCAAAAACTTGGTGACATAACGTATTCATTAGCCCTTCTATAGTAATGTACTAGATTAAGTCTCGTGTCACGCACGGTTTTTACAAAATTTTATAACGAATTATAATTTTAATTCAAAATCTACCAAAAACTAATCCTCATATTTTTAAATGCAATTGAAAAAGTTTGAATCTTAATTTATACCCAGAATTGAACCCCGAATTCGGATTACACCAAACGGTGAAACAGGTAGAATACCAAAAAAAAAAGTAAAAGATATAAAATAATGTTTTATATAATAAAAATATGGAAAATATGTGAATATTTTTTTAGGAAGTGAATCACAATTATATGATTTGGTGAATATTTTTTTTAAGAAAGTGAATTACTATTGTATAAAGAAGTGAATTTTTTTTTTTAGGAAGTGAATAATAAAAACAAAGAAAAAAAGTTTTGGAGGGAAAAAAAACAACACCAAGAAGTGACTCGTGTCATTCTTGATGTTTGTTTTAGTATTATGTTATTATTGATTGATTGCACAAGTTAAAGAGGATTTAAATTGTGATTTATTTTATTCGCTAATACGTGTTAGTTTGAATACTAATTAATATGATTTTTGCTTTACTAAGATTTTCTTTCTCAATCAAACTTTAGCTGTATTTTTACATTATTTGTTTTATTAGTCTCAACATGTATTTTCCTGAAAAAAAAAAAAAAAAAATTGACTATGCAACTAAAATATTTGGTATTCGGTGAAGAAATAAAAGGTTATGATTCAATTGGGTACGTATTATTTTAGCGTAAATAAAGTGTAAGTTTACGAAATTAGTTGAATATGACAAGAAAATTATTCAAGTATTTTTTGTAAAACAGAATAATTAACAAACACTAATCAAATGGAAGTACAAATTTTTAGTTTCCTCTTTCCTCCTACTTCGTACTCGCATATAACTGTGATGAATGGATGATGATTAAAGTTATGAGCAATAATTGGCACTTGAAACATTTAACATAGCCGAAAAATGTAAGTATAGCAGGCCCACTGGTTTACTAATGTGAGCCCTACAAATTGAAAAACTCGACCTAACATTTTCCACATTGGTTACAGACACAATGAAACCATTAAGGAAAATCATCTATCTTATTCTTTTGTACTCCATTGTTTTTGTTGATAAGTATATTAGGTGACTCGTACTTCGTAGCTTTGTCCGCCCGATCGGGCGGACATTGCCCGGTCTGACCGGGCGGAAGAAGAAGAGGTGCCTGGCAAATTCGTTGAAGAAGCTGCTCTCGCGCCCGACCGGGCGAGCCTTCGCCCGACCGGGCGAGCCTTCGCCCGATCGGGCAGACCTTGCCCGGTCTGACCGGGCGGTGGGGGTTGGATACGTTGAAGCATTCGTATGGAGTTTTCTTCTCGCGCCCGATCGGGCAGACCTTGCCCGGTCTGACCGGGCGGAGAAGGAAAAATACGGAACGCGGATTTTGCGGTTTTAGGTTATCTTATTTTATTATCTTTTTGCCCAAGTATCTTTTAATTAGGGATTAATATAAAACCTCCCTAATATCAGTATTAGGGTGAAGAGAGATAGAGTGAGAGCCGTTCTTGAGAAATACAAGAATCATCTTTGTAATCTTTGCAGTTTATAGTGAAATCATTCGATCTCGGTGCCCGTGGACGTAGCTATCACATCGATAGTGAACCACGTAAATTCTTGGTGTTGTTCTTATTGTTTGCATTGAATTTCTTTATTGTTTTCTTGTTTGTTTTCGACCTTTGCTTCCGCTGTCGCACAACAATTGGTATCAAGAGCTCAGGTTCAATCCTTGGAGAGTTTCTTGAAGATAACAATGGCAGGAGA